AAAGTGCCCTGCAGTACTTTAATAAGTACCTACACTAAACCTATTCAAAAGGAGTATTATGTAGTTTGCAGTTTTAATATTTAGTTGTAATTTTAAAATAAATCACAGCAGATTTGTAATATGCTACAGAACTCATTTTATTTTCCCTTAAACTTCCAGCTCTGCTTAGTAGGTCCTGTCCCCTGTAATAACAGAATAGTTAGTTAAAAATCAGCACTGTATAAATCATTTTATATTTAGAGATTGTAACCCCCTTTTTCTCTAACTAATATATTTTGTTCCCTTGTATTGTACCTACATGTACTGTAGGCTGTATCAGTATAGCATACTGTACTGATACACTAAACCTTAAATTGGGCCGTCATCTAAAGCATTACAGACCACCACATATAATATATAAATGGTGACTATGAAAGTGCAATGCTCAAACACAATAATCACATTTGGTAAATTAAATAAATAAAGGCTCATTGTACTATAATCTGTCTATATTGTTTTTTGTTTTTGTTTATAGTGTGTATATTATATTATTATTATTATTGTATAAGTAAGCACATCGTGAGCAATGTGCAATCCTAAGTCAAATTCCTGGTATGTGTACACATACCTGGCAAATAAAGCTGATTCTGATTCAGATTCTAAAGACTGACTATCACTTGAGATGTGTAATTTGGGTGGTGGCTGAAGTGTCTTGTGTCTGTGGAGAGCAGCGTGACGTTATTGCAGTTGTAGCAGCAAAACAAACATGTGTGAAGAATTTTCTTCTTCAAGATAGTAGTGCTGTCAGCAGGTGTGCGAACTATAGCCTACCATTGTTTTCAGGAGAACTCACAATTTTTCAAGGGGTGGGGGTAGCGAAGGGTGTTGGGCCAAAAGGCCAAAGGCTCTTAGTGGGATTTAGAAAGTTGTTTTTTTCCCCTGATCTTTGAGTTAAAGAGAGAGGAGTTTATGATATTGCACCACAACACAAGAATAACAGCATGCATGTTATTTTTGTCGTATTCAACAACAAGAATAACATGCATGCTGCTATCTTTATTAAAGTGAATTATTGATGAATCATACATTGCATTTAAAATACACTAATTTTAGACATGATCAAATTTTATTATTGTATAAGTAAGCACATCACGAGCAATGTACATTCCAGAGTCAAATTCCTCTATGTGTGCACATAGGCTACCTGGCAAATAAAGCTGATTCTGATTCTGAATAAAGCTGATTCTGATGATGATTAAGATACAGAAAAAGAACAATGCATGGCAAAAAATAGCATAATTTGTACAAAGATTTGACAAATCATGTTTTTAGAGGAGCTTCTGGCTTATTACCAGTCTTGTAGTTTCCACTTGCTGCCAGTGGTGAGGGATGGACACAGTCAATGAAAAACCGGCCGATAAAATAAAGTAAAATTTGCATCATATCTCATTTTATCACACGTTTTGCTTGTGCACGCTAATAATAAAGTGAGCTGTAACTCCTGTTGTCAGATACGTGTATGGGAGCACTACTACAGAACTAAATGTAGTGAAAAGCGTGTCAGCTGTAATGTCTCACAACATAAGGGTAGGACACGTCTGTCACGTAATCTGCGCGCGTGTGCCCCGTGGTTACACACAAAGAAGTGAACAGGAAACCTCAGCGTCTGATTGGCTGTCTGGGACACGCAGTCCTGCCTGGTTACTCCGCGCAGTGACGCTAAACCCCTCCGATAAACACAAGTCTTCTTTCTTTTCCTTCCTGTATATTCACCCTCCAATGAACAAGTATGCTGCGTCGTGTTCGGTCTCAACATGCACACTCAGGGGCGGATCAACTGAAAACATCTAAAAACTAATATTACAAATCTGTTTCTTTGGAGAGAAGTGAAACAAAGCAACTCATTTTGAGGCTCTCTTGATCGACTGTCTTGATAGAGATGGTTCATAAGATACGTAGGCTAGTTTACAGGATATCTGATCAATGTTTACTTCCTATTGAGGTTAAAAACTACAGTGCTAATTGTCTTTTTGTTCTTTCTCCATCTCAGTAATAAGGTATGATCTAGTGTAAATAAGATGATTTCCTGGGCTGTTTAGATCAGACTTTGTTTCGAGGTGGAAAAACTCACAGAGACGCTGATAAAGAAATACCTGGTCAGCACACACACACACACAGTTCCTCTATACATGTAAGGCGCCTATTTCAAATAATAGTCTATTCCATATATTTTAACCTTATAGGAATTAGATCTGCAACTGCAAACATCCCCTCCACTAAAACTTATTTCTAAATTTAACCCAAAATTCAAGTCTGAATCCTCAATCATCCATTTGAAGCAATGAGGACTAACAAAATGTCCTTACTTTCAAAAATGCCCCAAATAGTCCTCACTTGTCATAATGTCTCCTCACCTACCAAACTGTCTTTTTTTTCGACACCGAAGAGACTTTTTACAAGTGACAACTTTAACTGGTCCTCACAAAGACAGAGGAACAAAGGACACACACCTACACAGGAGCTGAGTGCAGTTATGTTTTAGTTCCTGGCTTTATGAGTCTCACTCATGCAAAGGTTAAATTTTACTTTCACATTAACTTACATATTTTTCAACCTGGACCTATTATTTCCCCATGTTTTTGTGTCTAAGTGACTAATTGGTCCAGTATTGTTCAGCACGTTGCAGTCTGCAGCAGTGAAAGAGGGCTGCATCATAATCCTTGCAGACAATTGGGCCCGTCAGAGTATGTCCAGTGCTTGTTTTTGCCACTGACAAGCTGAGGTTGTTATTACAAGTGTCTAACAACATTGTGGACATGATCCCTACATAGAAAGACCTTTTTTTAAAAGACTAACACCATTTTTGTTTAACCACAAACAGTCGTTAAATCGCTCTTGTCAAAGCCACCAGACTCCATTGATAAAAACTGCAATTTTACCTGAACATGGGAGTTGCTGGTCACATAGACACAAACACATGGGAAACAGGGTACAGGCAGAGTACACAAGTTACTCTTTAAAGAACGAACGTCTGCTAAGTGGAGAGCAGTGGTGCAGATCTTAAGTCGTTTTAGATCAACTTCAGTGTGGAGAAATAAAATAAACTTTAAATGCTCTGACACCCTCTTCTGGTCAACCAGTGGGGTTTAAAAACTGCTTCAGAGGAGCATGTTGTGGATTTCTGTCCATAGAGAACCAAAAGTGCTGATGAGTGCAGCTTTAATGAGAACTGTTTTTAAATTAATGCGAACTGTGAATGTAGGGAAAGTAGGAAACAAATGTTTTCTAAGAATGACACATTAAGTAAATGGAATAACAATAAGGAACATTTTTTTTAAAAACATTTGGAAATTCAATCATTTTTTCATAATTTAAAGGCAGAATAAGAACATTAACAATGTTTACTGTTTTAAGGTGGATCTTTCCTAAAGATTTTTACAGCCAAACACTGTTCAAGCCCACATAACTTATTTAAAATTCTAGTGGCGATCTCAAACTTTCCAAACATTTCAGATTTGGGGGAAGTGTGTCTGAAATGATGCAGCAGATATGTAGAATATTGTCTTGGGTTTGAATATTTCACTCATCAGCTTCAATGTAGAGGTGAAACATAATACACAATATACAGAATATTATACTGTCAATAAAAGGACTTTTCTAACCTTAAACCAACTTAGAGGATTAACACAGGCCCAATTTTCTACATATTTTAGTGTCAAAATGACTAGTTGGTACAATAACTTTTGGAATCTGTGCAGTAGATGGCGACTGAAGTGGCTGAAACATATTACTTTGGGCAATTGTGCCCATCAAAAAGTCCACATAAAGCGCTTTTTTTTGCCGCTGACATGCTCAAATTGTTATACGGGGTGACAACATCATGCAAAGGATCCTTACAAGTTACAAGTAACACCCGCTAAAACACCGTTTTTTTTAAACAAGAAACAGAAGTCTTGTTCAAGGACAATTCTCTGCAACTCGCTCCTCACGAGATATCAGAGGGAGAATTGTCCTTGAGAAATACTTCTGTTTTTTGTTAAAAACAAAGGAGTTTTAATGGGTGTTCCTTGTAGAGATCCATTCCATAATGTCAGACACTTGACACAACAGTCTGAGCCTGTCAGGGGCAAAAAGAAGCACTTTTTGAGGACGTAATTTTGACGTGCACAACTGTCCCAAAGGAATACATTGCAGCCACTGCAGCCATAAAGCAATCTACTGCAGGACTCCAAAATGTTAGTACAAAATATGTGAAAATAGGGTTTAGAAATACCTAAATGATTTAATGTGGAAATAAAGGGGAAACAAAAAGAAAAAAAAAAAAAAGAGTCAAAAAAGTCTGACCTCCCAACCAAAAGGTGATTTCTCCTCACAGTGAAGATGCTAAGGCCTTAGGCAGGTCGGAAAGCACCCTATTATGTAGCATTGGTGATATTGCATCTTGTCTCGTATCTGAATAAGCACGAGCGTCACTTTTACAATAACCTCATGAAGTTTTTATAACACCTGTTCTGTGTTTTCAAACCACTGTAATTAATCTGTCATTAATGATCTTTAATAAATTTCATAAACACAAAACACTTTGAATGAGCCAATTATAAGTTGTTGAAACTCTTCTCATGTCAGATCCATCTAAAAAAATGATATAGTGAACCTTAAATAGCAATTCAATGAGCATCGCAACTTGTTGACACTGTATGCTTTATCATTGTCAGTAATAGATGATCTTCTTCCATATCCTCACTTAATTTTACTTTTTTAGCTCAGCACTGTTCTCCAGCAGTGACACCGCTCTTCCATCATGTGTAAATAAAGTTGTAATGAACACATCTGAATGATGAAAAGTCATCACTTTAACAGCAGACGATGAAGCCAGAAAGGTTACAGATTCCAGGTCTAAAAACAGGCTTTATGGTATCATTTCATTCTCTTGTCCTTTGTCTTTCCCCTCTGAGTCACTGTTCTTCTTTTTTTCCTCTTCCTCCTCCTTTCTCATCCTCTCCTGTTCACTCTCCAGCTCCTGCTGTTCTCTGATGTCAGCCTCCTTCAGTTTCTTCTCCACGTCCTCGGGAATCTCCAACTCCATCAGGTTCTCCATCCCCTGCTCTGGCTCATCTCCTATCAGCACCTGGAGAGAGAGTAGATGGACGGATAGACGGTACATTACATGACATATGCATAGAGTTACCAGTTTATTAGACATACCTACCTAAAACTAAGGAGTCTAAACCAACAGCGTTGGTGTTAATAATAATTTTAATAATGGTTTGTTATTCATTTATCCCTGTAAGCCATAGATATTGGCAGAGGCAAAGAGACAGAAGAGGAGGTTGACAGAGAAAGCTAACAAGAGAAAAAGAGAGTGACCAAGCAAGAGGCTGCCTGGATGTTGGATAGTGGATAAAACGCCACAAGACTGGCGCCGGGCTGGCATCTTTCGGTTGAACCAGTAAGTAATACATTAAATTACATTTATTCATTTAGCTGACACTTTTATCCAAAGCGACTTACAATTGCTATTTATGTTAGAGGTCGCACGCCTCTGGAGCAACTAGGGGTTAAGTGTCTTGCTCAGGGACACATTGAATCCACTGTGGCACATCCACCAAAGTGGGTTTGCGTGTGTATTAAAATAAGTTTGGAACCAGCATCCCAAAACACTGTATGATCTGTGCACTGTCTTAGATTTACAGGAGCACAACATTAGCATATGACTGGATTTATTATTATTTTTTATTTGATCAAGACACAAAAACAACAACAACAACATTTTACTGTTACAAATCCAAAGTAAAATTTGATTATTGTTTTTTTAACGTAAAGGTAGAAAATAAAACTTCTAGTTTTGCTGCCCAACCATCAAGCAAAAAGACATTATTGATTATTTGGTGGCTAGACTTCTAGTTATTATATTTGACAATCGAAAGATTTGTTTGGTTATTAGATTCCTACCTGGACCAGTTTCTCACAGGCTGCTGTAACGTGGACGTCCTTCTCCCAGTTGTGGAACTCTCTCATGATCGGATAAACGCTCTTGTCTTTTAGTGTCTGCCGGCCGGCTTTGGTCGCTGTCAGCTACACAAGAGACAAACAGTAAAAGAGCTTAACATGAAAACATGCCTGTGTGAGTGTGTGAGGCTACGTGTGTGTTTGTTGTGTCGCACCAGTAAAAGTGTTTCCAGCAGCATCTTTCTGATGTCGGCGTCTTCTTCTCTCTTCTTGTCCTCTGGGAGGTACTGCAGGTCCACCGGCAGGCCTGAACATCATATCAACTTCTGTTAGAATCCACACCAGCGGTACTGTGGCTGGGCTTGATTTGGATTGTGATCCAACTAAAAACATTTTTCTGAATCTGAGCAGAACCAACAGTGTGTTTGTCTGTGTCTCAATACTTTCTGACTTCCCTTCCCACGCAGCTATCGGTTCCTACTGAAAACTAGAGCAGCAACGATTAGTCAATTAATCCATTAGTTGTCAACTATTAAATTAATCGCCAACTATTTTGATAATCGATGAATTATCTGATTTCAGATTCTCAAATGTGAATATTTTCTGGTTTCTTTACTCGTCTATGGCAAAAAACTGAATGTATTTGGGTTTTGGACAAAAGAAGATTTGAGTACATCACCTTGACCTTTAAGAAAACCTTATCGCCATTTTTCACAATTTTCTAGACCAAACAACTAATTGATTAATTCAGAAAATAATCGACAGATTAATCAATAATGAAAATATTTGTTAGTTGCAGCCCTACTGAAGATGTAAATCTTTATAAACTGGTCAAAAATATATTCATATTTCAACCATAAAACAGCTGGGACACTGGAGCTTTTAGCAAACGTGTGGGACTGAGTCAAAATAAACTATATGGTGTTACTGAGTGCAACAGTGCAGCTGATCAATGTGTTTTTAATAGTTTCTGGACAACAATGGAAGAATAAGATATGTCACAGATAATATTTGTTAGTAGATTAATTATTATTATATATATTATATTATTATATATATATATAGAGAATGTCACCAGACTCCTCTAACGCATGATACACTGAATTACAAACCTTCATTTTCTTCCTCTGTCAGCTCCTCTGGACCAGCCAGCGGCAGCAGGAGGAAGGGCAGGATGTCCACAGCGTCACTTAGTAACCACTCATGGTTGGCTGGACAGATTGAGGAGAGGTTTAGATCAGATATCTGGAACTACTGTTGGACTAGAGTTCAGTGAGAACATGACAGGTTTTACAAAAGATGCTGCTGAATACAAATGTCAGACCCTGTAGAGGCTACTTCCCCACACAGACATAGTTACAGCTGAGAGAAACAGATGCATTTACACCTTATAAGTAGAAGGCATTCAAAAGCAGTCGGATTTCAGTCTGACTCAAATGCTTCTTGGATGCATTTTACAATGTTTTGATATAGCTATCCGACCTGCCCATTGCACATGAAGTGGCAATGAGGTCTTTGTGGGTGTCTCACCGTGGTCAAAGCAACAGTTGCGCAGGGTGCCTATGACCCCTCCCCTCCTCACCACTGATGCCTGGTACTGAGTGAAGGGCAACAACCTCTGGATTACACACCTGCAACACACACACACACACACACACACATTATTACGACCAAAACATGTCTACGTTCAATGTCAATACACTCTGATTAGGTCTAACACAACGTCTACACAGCCTGCATAAATAGTGAAAGCAGATCGTTAAGGCTCGTGCAGACTCCACAACTTTCAGTGTCGGCTGATGGCCGTGATGTTCAGACTACACAACTTGCTGTCTTGTGACGGGAGTCTTGAAGTCATTGTGGCGTTCACACTACGTCACTGAAGGTGACAGGGGGTCACACATACTACGCAAGCTGACAACGACTCACCCGACGCTGGTCTCAAAACCACGTTTTGTCAAGAAAACACGTGAAATGTGAAACGGGAAACAAAGCGAACCTAGACACAAACAGCTGTTGTTTGATATTATAAAGATAGCAATTATAAAGAAACGCCGAGCTCGCTGACCGGCAAATCGGGCTTAAAATCGTGTAGTGTGAACTAGGCTTTAGCAGAGCAGCTTCAGTCCTGTGTCTTCATCTTCACAGGATGCTTTCAGGCACACTATTCAGTGTAGGTCACCCCTGTTTTGCGTCCAACACACAATCGCTGTAATTACATGGGTAAAACAGAAGAAAATAGACTTGAAGCAGAAAAATATGCTACGGTTCCCACAGCAAGGGTTGTCATTATGGTGAATGCAAAGGAGAAACCAGAGCTCATATCAGCTCATATCTGACCTAACTTCAGATCGTAATCCAAAATTTTAATCACTCTCCGATGTCTCTACCCTAAATTCTCACTGGCCATGTGGAGTGGTGAAAGGAAATGTGAAAAAAGGACAGTGTTGAGTGCTCAGAGCTTTGCCCACTTTTACATTTGTGCAAATCTTGCAAACTGCTGCAAAAAAAGGGTATGTCAGTTTTGAAATATCCCCTCTGTCTGACCATCAATTCTTGTCCAGCAGTTTAAACAGGTACCTGTTCTTGTCCATCATGAAGTTTCTGGCCTCGGGCAGCTGTGTCAGGTTGGACAGCAGAGGACCTATGTAGTGGAGATTAGCATTCTTGTTGTAGCCTTTAGTACAAAAGACCTCCACCAGCTGAGCCAGACCAACCTCCTCCTGAAGGACCTGAAACACCAAAGAAACACGTCATCTCTCATTATCCTTTGAGCAGGACTCAACCAGGAGCGCTTGTTGTGATGACCTGAGAGGCTTTGCGGACCTGAATGGGATTAGCAGCTCACGGATATATGGTGGAGTCAAGCTGTGTACAGCCTTTAAAGTAATTCGAAGGATTTTGAATTAAATCCTAAATCTAACAGGAAACCAGTGTAGTGAGGGCAGCACCAGGGGGAATATGGGAAAACAGTGAACTACCGCTAATGGTGCTACAGCTTTTTGGCTTAAACAAGAATTCACGGATTATAAAAGTCAAGAGGAGAGAAGGCAAAACAATGGATGATTTACTCTAGCTGCTGGGATAAGATAAGAAGGGTGTAGTTTTGTCTATATATTTAGTTTTTGTGTATTTTCTGTTGTCTGTCTGTGTTTTTTTAAGGTTTACATAACACCAGCTGCCTACCAGGAGAGATGGACTATTCTGGTGCAAAATGAGAATAACAATTTTTCCACCCAGCCAAAACCTCTTCCCATCCCCGGTAAAGCTTCTAGATCCACCACTGGGACCCACCTTGAACACAGTCTTGCAGGTCTTGTCTAGGCGGGTCAGGTTGGACAAGATGGTGCAGACCTGATCAGAGAACAGGTACTCTGGATCCAGAAGGTTCTTAAACAACACTGGAAGAACTTTGACATCTGTCACCAAAACCTGGGTGAGATACAACCAAGAGCAACGTGTTTGTCTTCAAAGAGGAATTCAACACTGAATCCACATCATCTCTGAGGGCTGTCCAGTTCTTTTTGTTTTGTTATCACAACAGCCTCTCACTCTGGGACAGAAGAGTAGTTACTTCTCAATCATCAGTAAGAGTTAAAACCGTGCTCTGCCGACCAATCGAGAGTGATTACCTGGTGCAGAGTCTCGTCAGCTGACAGGTTGATGAGGATGTGGTAACAGTCCTTCACTATAGCAATAGAGGGGTCACGAGTCAGAGCAAACAGGGCAATAAGTATGTCAGGTTTAGAGCGGAGGAATCTGCAGCCATCCCTGAAAACAAACACACACAAAAAGAGAGTGAATTACCGTGGCAGTTTAGGTTGGTCAACTACCAGCTGAGTGAAAGGGTGTAAATACATCCTAACACACAGCAAGCGAGCTCTAATTGATGGAGCATGAAAAATTGTCCACATATCTACATTGGGAAAAACTGAAACAATCTGATCTTCGCTCATTTGCATCACATCCTGTTAGAAAGAGGTGTAAAGTCCTGATAAGGGTGAGGACTTTTTCTCTCAAGTGTTTGATCAAACACCTTATCAGCACAGACATTAGAGGGGTGAGCCTGACTAACTACACTATCTGCAGATTAGCTTACAATATCCTGCATATCAAGTCTCACCTTTTTCCTGTCTAAAATGTACATTTTAGAGCCTCCGATCATCATCTGTGATGCAAAAGCACACATCTGTAATTTGCGTCCTACTCAACACACTGTGGAGCACTTCTCCTGTCGACGTGTTGATCTAGAGTCTGGTCCAGGACTAGTCTAGCATTTGTATGGGAGCTCAGAGCATAAACAAGGGTCCCAGGTTGCTGAATTATAATGAAAAGCTACATTATTAATGGTATCATTATCACCAGGCTCCTACCTGTGTCCAGAGAGTCCCAGGATGTACTCTGTGGCGTGACCTTTGACATCAGGACGAGTACCCGCAGTTAGGAAGGAGAGCAGCTCTGCGGCCTTAGAATCACTCAACATCTTCTTCTAGTGTCTGAGGAGTTTAGAGGAGAAATGTACTACACACTACACACTGTTCAAAAAGTTTGGGAACCACTGTTTTAATCTTTAACAATACATTACTATAAGTTTATTGTACCTCTTTTGTTCAAATGTTAATCTGAAAAGTAACTCCAGTGGTCAGATTAAAATAGTTTCCCTCTGAAATGTAGTGGAGTACAAGTATAATAAAGTAGCATGAAATGGAAATACTCAATAACGTACCTCAAAACTATACTTACAAAAGTATTAGCATCAAAATAAACTATAAACTTTAAGTACAAAAAGTAAAATTACTTATTATGTATGTAGAATTACGCATTTCAGAATAATGTATATTATTATATTCTAATTGTTGTTGCATTAATGTGTTCATTTAAGATTGTACCTCATTATATATATACACGTTATACTATACTATACAATAGATTTTCTACATTGTTATTAAATTGGAGACCTGTGTAATTAAGTTAACTGACTAATGTGTCATTAAAATAAAAACATAATAATAACAACGTTAGTAGAAAAGTAGACATTGTAAATAATAATGAATGTTAGGCTTCGTGCAGGCTGTTGTTTAGCACATAAATACGTTTTCAGGGACAGTTTGTTGCCATGTTTGATACACCTTTAGCTCCAGCTTCTAGTATAAACATATCTTACCTTTAACGACCTATAGGACAGTTATCATTTCGCTGTTTACTTTTTCTGTATTCCTCAGCTAACATTAGACAACATGTGTACAGGTGAACATGTGGACACCACAGCCCGCAGCTACAGCTGAAATCCGTCCTGTCTTCCGGGTTAGCTGCCTCCTTTTCTTCCTTTTCAGCAGCTTAAACGGTGCTGAGTGATCCTTACTGCCTCTAGTGTCAGCCGCATGAGGTGGTCTGCGGTTTGACATCTACAGCTCAGCCGCTCAACATCCCAAATTTACTTGAAGGACATTCTCTACCGAGACAGAAACGAACATGCCGATGTTTTGTTAATCTTATTTTAACACTATTAAACTTACACCCATTGTTGCAAATACATTTACTGTGGTAGCTACTCTACTTAAGGACCATTTTGAGGAATGTGTACATTTCTTGATTATTTTAATTTCCTACTACTTCATGGGATACTTATACTCTTATAATGTTTTTAAATCATCATATCAGACTTTATTGATCCCCAGGGTTAAATTCACAAGGTAGACAGAAGTAACTAAAAAAAGTATTTAAAATGAACCCCACCTTGAACAGTTTCCACAAGTCGAATACCCAATAATGTATCAACAATTTTATTCTGAAATGGGCATTTCTGCATAATGAGTACTATTACTGTTGGCCCTTCAAGTTTGATACTTTTGTACTTTGACTTGCCAGGTTGGGGAGGAATGGGTTACATGTCACGGCTTTACTAATCAGGATACAAAAAAAGTATTCCGTTACAGTACAGAAAATAAAAAGACGTAATCATATTACAGGTATATTTTGTAAAATCTGGGATTACTCATAGGGATGAAGCAGAAAGTTTCCATGAAACAGAAAACGCAGTATTTGCCTCCATATATGCAAAGGCTTTGTGTTGAAAAGTGGTGGGGACATAGGGGCTCAGATTAGTGGTGTGAAGAGAAACTTAGCTCGGGAGACAACACGATAGGCGATATTAGTTTTATAAGAACAAGATGAAAAGATCCTTCAACTGTGTTTTAAAGACATCCTCAGTGCTGAGATATATGAGTAGAGGTCTGGGGGGATCTCCCCCAGGAAATTTTTATCACTAAACACTTCTGCATTCTGGTGAAAGTTTCTGCACCAATTTATGGTGGAAATGTTTTTATTTATGTAAAAAGAAACACAAAATTCAGGTGACCGGTGACATTTCAAAATATATTAATATAACGCAGTGCAGCTCTCAGGCATTCTGTGTTGCTTTCAGATCTGTTTCTGCTGGAGATCAACATTTCTTCATGTTCTTCTATCATGAGGCAACACATATGTAGGCATGATTTAGTCATCCCTCCTCTTTTGTCATGTTCATAGGGAGAGAATGGAAAACTTGGCCAAAACGAAACTGTGAAAAGAAGTTGTTAAAATTACTGATTTTTACTGACTGTTTGGGGTCATTTTGTAATACTTTTTTTGGACATTGCACATTTGTTTCCTCTATATTTTAATTGCATTACTAATGCTGTTTGAAACTTGAAATAATAGTAATGAACACAAAATACAGTTGTTTTTTTGTCCAGAGGTAGCACCGAGAGGCAGCCTCAGTATCTTATAATAAACTGTAAGATGGCCAATTGTTTAATAAATCTGTGCTTCTGCTGACCTGACAATTGCTGCATCCAATTACTATCAGGTATTTGGATTTTCAATCACCTTCTTTAAAGGCTGAATGACTTACTGAGCCTGGAAACAAGGAATATGCAACATTTAAACATCTCTTTCACCTCTTTTATACTGAAAATCATCAAAGCAGCGCTATACCATTTATACAAAGTATTATCCAATGCAAGAACGCCCCCTATGGCCACACTTGATAGTGATGGTGCTCATGATGGTGTGGTGTAACCTTTATATACAGTTTATATTTAGCTGCAGCTTCGTGTTTACCGTACAGACATAAGAGTGATGTATAGGCTACCCGCCTAACACATTGCCACAAAGAAAATATGCATATTTTCCAAAGTATTGAATTATTCCTTTAAATTGAGGTGATAATCAGACTGTGCAGCTCTATTTTTTAGTTAAAGTCAGTAATAACTTAAAGAAATTAGCATTATTGGTTATTAAAGGTACCCTGCAGAGTTTTTTTTACCATTAGGAATGTTTTTTTAAGTGGGTCCCTGTTATGTTAGTATCCTGAAGTGCACAAGCGCACAGGCGACACAATATACATTCCTGCGGCCGTTTTCACACCATTGTTCTGATCGACAGTTGGCGACAGTAACTCACAAAAGGCAGTGAAGAAGTAAACTACAATCTTGCAAACATGGATCTGAAACAATGCGAAGTTTTAAATGTTTTATGAGAAAGAAATGCATTTAATAAGATTTTGTTTTACACCTTAAGACTGCACACAAAGCATTTTGACGAGTCCACATGGCGGCTTTAACTTGAAATTTACAACAGGAGTTTCCCTTTATGCACAATTCTACACAGCAGGACAGATTCCAGTCAGTGTGTTATTTTATTTACAGGTTCCCTGCTGAGTTTTTGACCTCTAGCTGTGCTACAGAGCCGTTTAACGATAAATGTGGGTCCCAGTTTTGTGTATCTCGTCCAGGCACAAAGTCCTGACAATGGTTTCACACTATTCCACTGATCAACACGTGGCGTTAACATGCGAAGATTTGCTGCAATGTGCCAGCAGAGGAAGAAGAAGACTGCGAACTAGTAAACAATTTAATCTTCCAAACTACTTTATTGATATACTGGAAATAAAACAAAACATACAAGACATTCACATAGTTTAGTCCCATCAGAAACAGCTCTCACACACTCCATATTTTGCATTGATATGCTGATATTGCATTTAAATGTTCACGAATGTTGCCTGCACCACAGTACAGCGTCCACTTTCTGTTAAAAAGGTACAGTTCAACCTTTACTGACTGACAAGTTCAGACAACATCGGGCACTTTTCTCTTAAACAACCATCAATGAATCAAATGCGGCTGAATGTTGTGAACTTGTCAAGGTCCAACGCAGCATTTTAACATTTCAAACACCTGGAAAACAAACATTTTAACAACGATACAGCTGTGGAAAAAGCCTGAGGCCTGTGTTGGTGTAATTGTATCCACACTCCTCACACATGCATTTCAGAGAAATGTTCGTACATGCAGATCCAAGGCTGCTGGGTAAAACACCGCCCTGCGTTCTTCCAAGAGATTAAAAGGAGGTCAGGCACAGTGAAGTCTGTACTGAGGAATGCTGCTGCTCCTTCGCTTCCAGCAATGCTGAAACATTTTGTTTTTCTTAACACAACCTTATTCTTGTCGCACAGATTGCAAAAAAAACAACAAATATCAGCATTTTAATTCAGAAATATTTCACCAAATATGTGTAGTTTAGAAAGAGAGAAGAGAAGAAAGAGGGCTGGAACAGCATCAGTCTAGATTGTAAACAGAAGAAAGTATTTATGAAGTCGTCCACCACGTGCTGAAGTGGATCCCAGTCCGTGTTATCTGCCAGGAGCTCAAGTTCAAACTCCACGTCAGATGAGTAATTTTAAAAGAGGCTTTTCAATGACTCAGCGGTTCTTGCTGGTAATTCTGGGTTGCCATGGTATCGTAGTACTACTGCTTTTTTTCTATACTAAATGTAGTATTTTCATCAAAGTCTAGATCTCTTTATGGTGACAAGGCTACCATGGTACAAACCGAGAAAGGCGTCAGAAGGCACTATGGAGTTTGATTGGCAGACAGAGACCAGCTGGCAGCCTCTGTCTGTTGGCTCAGGGCGGGGCAAGTCCATCATCATAATCAATCATCGTCTTCACCATCTTCCTCCTCGTCTTCACTCGGCCTTGTCCTTCCTCTTGGCCGTGAACGGGACTTTGCTTGCTACTGTCGAGCCCACTGTGGAGACGCCGCCGGCCACGGCAGACACCCCACCCTTCACCAGCCCCACCCCCATCGAGGGCACTGTGGTCACAGCTGACTTGGTGATCTCCAGGCTCTTGCCGCCCACCCAGGCCACCCCGCCCACCGCGGCGCCCACGACTCCCTTGGTGACGTTGAAAAGGCCGCCGGTGACCCGCCACATCATGCCAGGGGCAGGAACCTCGTGGTCCTTACCAGGATCTGAAAACAAATCAAAACACTTGAAGCATCACAATATTCTGTTTTTTACCATCATACATGTCCTACTGCTCTGCTGAACAAGTTCTAAGAGATGAAAACACCTGCTGCCGTGTGAGAAAACGTGACTGTTTATGGAGATTATACCTATAATTATAGATCAAGACATTCTGGTTTTACTGTTGGCATAAAGAGCTACGCTTGGCAGGAATATAAAGTCAATAAACCAATCAATAAAAACATGCTATTTTGTTCCTGTATGCTCCTGATGGAGAAAAGACCTTATTCTATATTCTCTCCCATGAAAAGACCCAATTCAACAACGTGTTAGTCCGACCCAATGTTTCTGTGCCTCTCAACACAAGACCATCGGAAATCTTAACAAAACAATCACACTTAGAAAGGGGCTCAGAACAGACGCTCACTCTAGTGCGTTTATGAGTAATGTTTTTAGCAAACATAGTCAAATAGAAAGGGGCTATTTCCAGTGGTGTATTAATACACATTTTTTAGCTCTAGGGAGGGTTTGCTGCAGCAGGACAGGTTGAGTCTAAATAAACTACAAAGTGTGTGTTCATAGTAATGAAGGAACTCTAGCGCTACGCTACCGGCTCTGTGAGTACAGATCCCCGCAAAAATATGTATAATAAAATATATGTTTTATGTAATGTAAATATGATCATTCCCTCCAATATCACAAATCATAAAGCAATTGCAAAATCATTTAAAATAATCGCAATTAGATACTTTTTCAAAATTGTTCAGCCCTAGTTAACATGCTGATGTTTAGCTGGTATAATGCTTACCCTGTTAACCATCTTACTTTGGCATGTTAGCATGCTAACGTTTACTATTTTGGACTATATACAAAGTAAAGCTGAAGCTGATGGGAATGTCATTAGTTTGGCAGGTATTTTCTCATAAACCAAAGAAATTGTCAAATTAAGTGAAGTAAATCGGCAAAGTACAGTGAGTATTAAATTATTACATCGTCTGGCACCATCAATATCTGTACAACCTTTTTTTGGCAATGGATCTACTAAATGTTGAAATATTTCACTGGATAAGTGAAACCTCTGACCTACTGGTGACGCTAAGGGGAACATTAAGGGATCACTAAAGAATTAGGATTCATCCTCTGGGCACCATGGATGTCTGAACCATATTTCATGGCAATCTATGTCATATTTATTTATTATTACAGTCTGGACTCAAGTATTAGACTAACCCACCCAACAGCCACAGCAAACAAACAGTCAGCTGGGCTTTTCTTAACAACACCCCCCCCACCACCACCTTGTTGATGGTCTGGTCTCTACAGTTCACCTGGTGAGTAAACGGTCATCAGAGCAGATAGATGCCGAAAACAGACTTATGCTTCATCCAATAACAACAGTGGTGTTTACTGAGAGCTGCAGCGAGGGACTCAACTGGTGTCTCTGTGTTAGGACACAAATAGCAGGTTGGAGCAGCAGCCACTCTTACACAAACACCATACTCCCCTGACAAACCATCGGTTTCTGAAATAGCAGCAGGGCAACATGTGAGCACATATTGCACCATATTCCCTGCTGATGTTTCAGCGTTTAGCGACAGCATGGGGAGTCCTCTGCTTACCATCTGTAGACTGGCTGTCGGTGGGCTCAGCTTCGTCCGAGGCCACGGTGGTCCCAGGCTGGGGCTCCAGGTTAACGCTGTTCACATTCTGGAAAACACACAAAAAAAACAAGCCTCTCTTTACTCTGAGTAAACCAACCAACACAGTACCTTTAATACTCACATGCCTGGGTATCGAACCTTTATGTGTAATAACTTGGCATCAAATCTCTGGTCATATTCATAATTCTGTTGTTCTTTGATCAGGTAGTTCACAATTTTGCAAAAAATTTTCGACTTTTAGATCACATTTAAAGGGGCACTCGACCGATGGTTACTACAGCTCAGCCTGTGAAAACAGTTGTTCAATGTCTTCTGGAGGAGCTTTGTTAATGAAATAACCCTACACATTGACCTGTATTTATAAATGTATAAATCTGTGTCTTGTGAATTCCCAAACTTTATATATGTACAAAACTAAATCACAGGAGTGCCCATTTAATAAATGTGTCTTCTTTTGTTTAATGAAAGAAAGGTTTTTAACTTGAACTTGTTTATATTTATCAAAGTAAAATCATTCTGGCATCATATAGTCACTACACTAGTACCAAAAAATGTAAAACCCAGCCCTACTTACATGATGAGAACATTTACTGGAAGCCACTTTTTGTTCAGATTCACATAAATTGATGTGTTGTTTGTACTCTTGTGACTAAAAGTCTAAAATCCCCCTAATGAAGTCTCACAGGAATTCATTAAAATTGTGGGTTTGTATTGCATGATGTTGGGCTGAAACATCTTCTCTTCCTGTTGCTCGGTATGTCAAATTCTGATTTTATACGTGATAAATATAAAACTCTTCTAAAAAGCCCTGTCATTTTGTGCAAGCAAATCTATTTATTTCGACTGAATTATAGAGATGAATCTCTGTCTAGCCAGCTGGGGGCTGAGAGTCAACTTAAATATGTAATTATCTGACATACTCTAAAGATGATCTATGTTTTTTCATATATTTTATTTATTTTAACAGTGTATGTTTGACATAAGGTTTTTGTATATATTTATGTGTGTACATACATTCTTCTATTTGTCCCTCCCCTCTATTTCATCTTTTTAAGTCACAGTTGATGGAATGATAACACAGTTTGCTCAACTTTAGCTCATGTTTTGTTAAAACATTATATAGTAATGTATAAGTGAAGGCTGCCACACTGAACATGAGGAGGAGAACCACCTGACCGGCGGCCATGTTATTGTCGGTCAGCGGTCTTAACCTTCTTGACTTGTGAACCTTAAATATTAAGCGATGCCCCCCTCTTAATACAGGTTGTAGATCGTTAGAAGGTGAGCAGCTGCAACTAAACGGTGACTGATTATATAAACAACACGTGAAGACTTCGCATCACTGCACATTTCACATGCTTGTTGCAAAAATAGAAATGTTATAATCTGAATCATCTTGCAAACCGTACCCCCCACCCCCCCACCCTTTTTTCCTCCTTTTCTTCTCCTTTTCTTGTGACCCACAAAAGGAGCCCAGATCCCAAGTTTAAGCACCAGTGCTGCATGCTATTTGATTAAATGTTGCCACTGTTCAGTCTGGAAGCCATATCTAATGTAAAAAATGTTTAAATTAAGATTTGGCATAGCTGTGTCAGAGTTAACGGAGTAACATTTGCAGGAAGCTGTGACGCCTCCCTTTAATGCTACTGGACAGAAAATACACTTTTTCAGGGGAGAACAGAGGCCACATCTCCTAAAAGGGGATCCTACTAATAAAATAACATCTTATTATATTTCACATTATCACTCATGTGGCCTGCTGCTGGAAATAAATTGTCATACAAAAAAACCCTCTCTCTATCCGGCTGTGTTTGTCAACACATATTTATGACATTGAAAAGGTTGGTCCTCACCTTCACCATTGTTTCCACTGCTTCTCCCACAAACACACCTGGTAGAGAAACTTGAGACACGAGCAGCTTCTGTTTCAGCCTCGTAACCAAACTCTGCTGTAAATTAATGAATTTCTGCGTCTCTGAGTGTGAGAAACCTTCTGCTCAGGGCTGTAAAACGACCTCTTCGTATCGCGTTTCACGTCCTTTTATCGCATCAATCTGATGCTTCCTAACTTCTCCTCACACAGAGTTACAGAGAGAGCTACGCAGGTCTCTTTTTCAGCCTGCTGGTTCTGCCGACGTGGCGCCTTCAACACAGACACGCACACACACACACACACACACACACACACACACACACACACACACACACACACACACGCAGTCCAACGACACACAGCAACGCACTGGACTTCCTGTTTAGGACCTTCAAATTAAAACCCTTCTAAGAGATGAGGCGGACGGGTTTTTGTGTATCAAAGGAGAGATGGAGTAAAGAGTAAATGAGAATAGAGTAACAGACTGGAAATCGGTCTGTCTTGCAGTGATAGTTTTCAGATCATTTACCTGAGTGAAAGTACCAATTCAACAGTGTAAAAATCAGAGGTGACTTGGACTTGAATCAGACTCCAGTCACAAAATTATGAATTTAAACTTCAAATCAAATCAGAGACTTTCAACTCTGCTTTGACTATAGCACCAATGACTCGTGATTTCACTTGGACTTGAGCCTTTGCTGTGTAAAACTGCGCCTCTGCCAACTTAACTATTTTTTTTCTTTTTTAAATTTGAAATGGAAATAAATTTGGTGAAGAGCACATTATTAATTGTTTAGGACTCGAAACTCAAAGTTTAGGACTTTGGACGTGAAACTTGACTTGAAACTTGACTTGGCTTGGCTGTCTCGAACGGTCTGGACTTGGGACTTGAGTGCTAAGTCTTGAGACTTATTTGTGACTTGTAAAACAATGACTTGGTCCCACCTCTGGTAAAAAAAAATACTCTATAAATAGTAAGTATTACATTTAAATATTTACTTAAGCTAAGCAGAAGTACAAAAGTATGATTAATTACATGTTAAGTATAAAAAGTAAAGTACTCTTTGTTTGTTTGAACCTCAAACAATTATTTAAATGAAAACATTTCAGAAGTTCAGAGGGGAAATCTCTCTTTGCTAAAAACTCAAAGGCCTGGTTTAATCTTCAAACAATGTGTTGATTTTTATAAGCTTATCAAATGTTTGTTTAATGTAAAATCCTCAACCGAAAAGTAACTCCAGCTGTTAAAATTGTAATTGTATTTGAGCAGAAATATAAAGTTGCAGAAAATGGAAATACTCAAGTAAATTATGTCAAAAATTATACTTAGTAGTACTTGTGCCTAATCTTCTCTGTTAGCAGGTGCGTGTCCAGATGGGTATCATGATCTCAGGTTTGTCACCAGCCCCCCTACACCTTTTCTCACTACCTCAAATTTGACAGTAGACACCTAACATTGGTCAGCGAGTGATGTATCGTAGCTTGTTTTGTTTGTGTCAGTCTCTTGTCATCCTTTCTGTGTCCAGAAAAGTTCAGACACTTCCTCAAAAAAACAACTACTACTAAATACAGGACAGATATTTAATGTGCAATTAATGCATGCATATTTTGATTTGTGTTTTTTTCAGTTCAAACAAAAACTTTTGCTTTGGTGTTTAATTAGTTGTGAAATGGCTGTGAGTACATTTGTGGTTGTCTCTCTGGATTTTAAAAATGATTTTCAAACAATTTAAAAGTTGACAGAAATTGTACATCTGTGCTTGTTTTGTACAAAACAATAATAATAATAATAATAACAATAATGGAAATTAACATTAGTATTGGACGAACAGAACTTCTCATTTTGGTTCACATTGTATAAATCAAGTCATTTCCTGCTTTGACTGGATTAGGAAGTGCCACATTGGCAAACAACATTTCTATTGTGCAATGAACTGAATATTTAACATAACTGAGTGAATTTAGAACAGACTTGAATGTAATAGAGATCAATGGAAAACATAAACATCCTGTTAAGTGACACTTGCAAACTTTTAAACCAAGAATAGGAGTAAATTAAGATGGATGCTGCTGATGACCTACCTCGCTGCCTGATTGACACACCCTGTCTGTTTACACTGCTCAACCTATCTATTCTATTCTGTTGGTGTCAAAACCTTGAATAAACAACAAAAATTATTTGTTTTAGCAAGATGGAAGTGATGTTTTGGTAAAATATTGGTAAAATCTATATAATTATGAGATTCACAAGTTGAGTTTTATGAGATGTAAATTTATTATCACTTTTGGGGGAGCCTGTCATAATTTTATTTTAAAGCATAAGAAAATCACCTGAATTGGAAAAACAAGCTTTTCAAAGCAAGATCACTCTATGGGTAAAACCAAACCTCAAGACAAATGTGGTGCATTTACACAATGTCTAGACTGCAGCAAACATTGTTGGAACAATTTCAGTATCTTAACACCTGTTATTTAACCAGGAAATACATACATGTCATAATTTTTATCATTCATCAATTAATGGATGATGTTTGATTCCACAGTAAAAGATGCCACTCTGAATGTGTGTCATCAATTTTACCTCAAGCTGATATATTTTGCGCCTTTATTGTGAAAACAGAAGTCGTTTGAGGGGCTGGATCAGGATCCAGCTCTGGATCGTTTGAGACTGTTTGAACATGTCACCTTTAATATAAATATCCTGTCCAGATCATCCTGTTAACCTGGAAGTTCCACGGTTAATAAATATGTTGTTGGGCATCTATTGATCCTCCCCCGTGGTGAAAAGTAACTAAGTATATTTACTTAAGTAGCCCACTGTACTTAAGTACAATTTTAAGGTACTTGTACTTTCAATGTTTTTGTTACTTTATACTTTTAGGCTGCTCTCCACATTTATTGGAAAACTTTGTAGATTCAGATTAATAATACAAAATATTATATACAAATACATTTGTTTTAAATATATGTACAATAATTACAATTAGCTCCACTTTTGCCAGCTGAAACATGCAAATATGCTAAATATAATCCAGTGATTATATATTATCCTGGAATTTTAAAATGCCACCCCTCGACATTTTTTTGTTAACGCGTTATTTGGTTCAGGCAAATTTTGCGTCGCATTGTTTGGGGTCCTTACAGGAGGCTAGGCGCCAGTCTCTCGGGCAGTTGCAGCAGACGTAAATACGAGTTATAGTTTGTCAAATAATCAGTGAAATCAAGTTGTTAAGGACATTTGGATCCTCGGTCCACCGGAAATGAACCTAGAACTGCTCGGTAATTAACAAAAAATATTTATTTGTTTCCTCCCCTGCTCCCGGTAACGCTGTGGATCTGTTATGGTTAGCATTGTACGTTACTAGCCTAGCATGTTAACAACCAACCGATACGAATCAAATTAAAAATACTTTAATTATCAGAATCGCTCTGTTATATGCTGTTGAACTGTTCACTTTAAATGCTTTTTTAAGTTACCATCTGAGTCTGTATGTAAACATTGGTAATACATATGGAAGCAAGCTTAGTGGCTGTTAGCTAACGTTAGCGCCGAAACGTTGTCTTATTGTGTTCGAATAAAATGTGTATTTATATGGGAAAGTACATAAAGTTACCGTTACTGTGTAGGAAATTTCATCCTATATATTCCACCAAGCCTACGAATGGCTAACTCCATAGGAAAATAAACAACAATACACAGCTCGTCCATGACAGGGAGTAACGTTAATATTCAGGATAAAAGGATACAAATGTGCAATCTTTCTGTTTTTGCAAATAAAATAATGTTAAAGGTTTTACCAACCTAAAACGAGGTTTTAAACAGTCTTTAGAGTCGACATGCTTATCTTGTCCAGGTTTAAAAAGTATACATAGAGGATTATGATCTGCATCAGGTTTGTAAAAGTCTGGATGGAGGAAAAACCGTGAGATTGGACTTATTTCTGTTTTAAACCATCAGCGTAGTTTACTTGTTAGGACTAGTCCAGGTTTGCCAACTCTGCCGAGTACTGTGGTTTTTGAGCTAAGATAGACCAAAATAGAAGGTTAAGGCCGTAAGTGTGCTTTCTACTGCCTGTTTCATAACTTTAAATCGTGAAATTACTGTCTCTTATTTTCGCCTTGACTTCCAGATCTAAAGCTAACTTCAGCCTTGATCTGAAATTCAAGCTTGTTCAGGAGGATATTTGGAATATCTGAAGAATAGTCTGCTATTGAAAAATGCATTATTTTGTTTCAAATATTTGTTTGTCTGAAGTGTTAACATTACACTTCGTTTTCTCCCAAGGTTATTTATTAGCTGATATGATTCGATACCAGTTCTCTTTTATGTATCACAATACTCATACACATTTGCTTTTTCCTTGTATTTTTGACTCTTCTCTAGTAGATGTTTAAAGTTATCTTGGTAATTGGATGCGTTATCACAGATAAATCCCCCCTCTTTGATGGTGATTTTTAAAAAATATGTTAAGTATATTAATAATATAAATGTTTTTTTCTCTTGTAAATGTCCATTTTTAATCTCTGGGAAATTCAGTTCTAATGAATTACTGAACAAGCAACTTTGGATGAAACTTCAAGATTTCTCTCACAAATTACTCATGGATAATTTCCTGCTTCTTTCTGGTGAATATTCAACTTAATTGTTTAAAATTTCCAGTTTTAATCTTGGATATACTCCCAGGTTTTTTTCTCTCAATGTGTTTGTAATGAATATCTGACTTCATAATCATAATAATAATGTATTAATAAAGGTTATCTCTGTTTTAAATTACCGAAACTAAATAATTGACTGTACTGCTCTTTCAAGGCCCAAATACTCTGTCAGAATAATCCGTACCATGTTAATTTGAATTAAATAACAGTTACTGGAAGGTTATGTATCTGAGCCAGCTGTCACTTTATTACATAGTATGAGTGTGACTTTGTTGTTTGTGTTTCTCATCACTGTGTTTTTTGTTATTCCTCTCCTAGAATCGTTCGGGCAGAACTATCCAGAGGTGAGCTACCAGCTCTTAATGTATACATGAGCTTCAAGTCATCAAATTGCACTGAATATCATCCAAACACCAGTACACATCAAGTTTCATCTTTTGATTTATGTAACAGTCATATGTGAAGCTACACCTGGACTGCTTCAGTGGTGATGCAAACTCTGCTTTTTTGGTGTGTTGTTAGGAGGCAGATGGCACCCTGGACTGTATCAGCATGGCCCTCACCTGCACCTTCAACCGGTGGGGCACCCTGCTGGCTGTGGGCTGTAACGACGGCCGCATCGTCATCTGGGACTTCCTCACACGGGGCATCGCCAAAATCATCAGCGCACACATCCACCCAGTCTGCTCTTTATGGTGAGACACATCACACATACTGTAGTGTGTGTTGTCATCACTGCCTGGTGAATGTCCAATTTTATGCAGTAATATACGCCTTCATCCTTTACATGCCTCGCCTGCTCCATCTTACACTACATCCATAAATGCTTTTTGTTTGAGAACTGTGTGTGTGTGTGTGTGTGTGTGTGTGTGTGTGTGTGTGTGTGTGTGTGTGTGTGTGTGTGTGTGTTTCCAAATCTCTTCCAAATCTCAAAGCTGAACAACAACAACACAGCACAAAGTAGCTGTTTTTTATTACATAGTTTTTTCTGTTGACAGCAGAATGAGTATGACATAGCTCATAAATACTACCTGTTAATCCGACAGTCATTCCAAAGCTCGTCACGTCATTATTTTATGATGAGTACATATATATATATAGTATATATGTGTATATATAAATGTATTAAATTTTTTTTGTGTGCAGCTGGAGTCGAGATGGTCACAAGCTGGTGAGTGCCTCCACGGACAACATTGTCTCGCAGTGGGATGTCCTGTCGGGAGACTGTGACCAGAGGTTCCGCTTCCCCTCACCCATCCTGAAACTGCAGTGCCACCCCAGAGACATGTGAGAGATCTGATAGCATCTGTCTGTACATGTTACATGTGATGTGCTGTGTGGTTTGGCTGTCAGATGCACCATAACATGTGATGGGTTTTTGCTAGTTCAGTTTCTCTTGATTTGTGGTAAGTTCAGTTACTACACTTTTCTATTTTGGACTAATAAGACATTATGTTTGTGTTTTAGGGACAAGGTTCTGGTGTGTCCCATGAAGTCAGCCCCGGTCCTGCTGACTCTGTCAGACTCCAAACATGTTGTCCTGCCTGTAGATGACGACTCAGACCTGAATGTGGTGGCGGCCTTTGACAGGCGGGGGGAGTACATCTACACTGGCAATGCCAAAGGAAAGGTCAGCCTTTTTGTCTGACAAAACCTTTTTTCACAGTGCACCTTTCAGTCACATCACTGCACTTAAAGACAACAGGAGTTAATATCACTTTAATAGAGAAAAAAACCTCAATACTTCAAGGTCTATGTGTAAAATACACTGTGGCAGATATCAACACAAACAACCCTCCAGACTAGACTGCACTAAATTTTGATCAAATTAATTTATGTTTGAATACATTTGTAAATTTCCGTTCACTTGCATTTTACACTTGGAAACTGCTCCTGTGTTTTAGAAATGACGTCCAGTGTTTTTGCTGTTTTCCTTCACAATCATTTGTCCCTCTGTCTGTTACAGATACTGGTGTTGAACACAAACACTCAGGAGCTGGTAGCTTCCTTCAGAGTGACAACTGGCACTAGCAACACCACTGCCATCAAATCAATTGAATTTGCACGCAAGGGCAGGTGAGAGGCAACAGGATTTTCTAATAGATTCCATGTTGATGGTAGAAGAGATTCATATTACAGCGTGTACACAGGATCCACAGAAGAAAGCAAAGAAACTTTAAAGGCTTCAAAAGCCCCAGCTGGAAAAGCAGAGCTCATTCTGTGCTTTCTTTTCACCCGTCTCTTACTCTACCTCCTTTTTTGTCCACCTGTCCTTTTTTCTGTGCAGTTGTTTCCTCATAAACACAGCAGACCGGATCATCAGGGTGTATGATGGCAGGGAGATACTAACCTGTGGCCGAGACGGTGAGCCTGAACCCATGCAGAAACTACAGGACCTGGTCAACAGGTATGTCAACACAGGACGGCGTTGTGCCCTTGGGGACGAAAGTGATACTGTTTATTTGAATTAGGCTGGTAAAAGTGTTGCTGAATTTAAATATTTTTATTTTGGGATTGAATTGTCAAGTGTTCTTCCAGTTTGTGTATAACTTTGTATATAACTTTAGTGCCTGAAATTGAAGTCTCTGAGGGTAAAACTTGCTGGGAAAAGTGTTCTTATCTCCATTTGTTCATGTTTTCCACTTGCGTTTTCTCTGTTGAGGACTCCGTGGAAGCGCTGCTGTTTCTCTGGTGATGGTGAGTACATTGTGGCTGGATCAGCCAGGCAGCACGCTCTCTACATCTGGGAGAAGAGCATTGGCAACCTGGTGAAGATCCTGCATGGAACTAGAGGAGAGTTGCTGCTGGATGTCGCTGTAAGGATGTCAAAACTAAAATTCTGGCTTAGTAGAACACTGTGTAGAGATGTAAACATTGACACAACACTTCTGTCTGTGTGTTTTCAATCATATTCATACACTGTGTTGTTTACTAACTGATAATTTACACATCTCACCTTTGACCTTTTCTCAGTGGCATCCTGTGCGTCCGATTATTGCCTCCATCTCCAGTGGAGTGGTGTCCATCTGGGCTCAGAACCAAGTGGTAAGTAGAAAGTGACAGTAAAAGCTGGATGCACATGAATGAACAGTGTCACAGGTGGATTACTTCAGTCTTTATCTCTTATGTTTCTGATACCCAAAATAAAATATTTGGCTCCATGTTACGGTAAAAAATTTAGGTATGTGACCTTTTAATGAAGCACAAATATCTGAGCTGAGTTGATGTAAAATGGTTTCAAGGTAAGCTTGATGTGTGACTGTTTGATTTGTCTGCAGGAAAACTGGAGCGCTTTTGCTCCAGACTTTAAGGAGCTGGACGAAAATGTGGAGTATGAGGAGCGAGAGTCAGAATTCGACATTGAGGACGAAGACAAGAGTGAACCCGAGCAGACAGGTAGATAACACACACACACACACACACACACACCCCAGCTGGCTCACAGTGGGCATGTGGTGGTTCTCATTTGTGAAGTTTTTACTTAGGTTGTAATTACTGTTTGTACAGGCTGGAGTTTAGGAATTTGCATTTTACAGGACACAACACTGGTTAAAAAAGAAAAAGAAGTTAAAATGCTAAAACATGATGATGGTATGTAATTTCAAGCAAACACTTTATTGTATAGCATGGCTCCTAAGCCACTTGGCAAAGGGTAAAGTATAACAAGTGTTGTATACAGTATATCCACCTACTAAGGCACCACTGAAGCATTATGTAGAAAAACCTCTCCTGCTTTGTCTGGATCCAGTCCTGCAGGACCGGTTCTATACTAATAAAACTAAATTGAAACTGGGTGGTATGTATGTAAAACTAAATGTCAGTAAGCATATTAAATGTATTATTTTTTTATTATTTTCAGTGTTCTGTAGACATTATTGTTGTAATTGTAGCTTAGAGCGTCTTGTGCATGGTGGTGAAACAGCTCGACAAGCATGTCAGCAAAACAAAGAAATATAAATCAATCAAGTGACTGATGCACTGGTCTTTCTGCTTTGACTCGTTCTCTCTGAATGTCTCACACATGAACTTGTGCTTGTGTTGCAGGTGCAGATGCTGCAGAGGATGAAGAGGTGGATGTCACCACTGTTGACCCCATAGTTGCTTTTTGCAGCAGGTGAGAAACAACAAAACAGCTTCCTGCAACTGTGGTGTTATTTATTTTTTATTTTTTTACATGAATCTTGCATGTCATTTTGATCTCATTCCTGAAACGTAATCAAGTATCATTACTGAAAACTGGCTTGGTGCTTATTCAGCACTCTTAAAGTGTGCCTTCATTAATTTATGACTTCATCTAATTAACAGCAGAATCTCCATATTGTAGTTTGCCAACTCAAATCTTAAAAGAGGTCCACTTACTAGCTCTTTCCTGAGAGCCTAACCACATGTTAAAGTGGGAACTTTATCTCCTGATGAAGGCTGTAAGATGCGATTGAAAGCTCTGGAAAGTGCTAGCTAGTGAACCTTGTGTCAAGACTCTTCTGCCAGATTTCTAACACCACAGGTCCGCTCACGTTACTCCAATTTTATCTTCATTACACTGGCCCCCAGTTATTTTTTATTTTTTATTTTTTTTACAATTAATTTAAGATGTGTGCAGTCAAACTTTGCTGACCATATTATATTACAGAGGCTCAGCTACAGTCTGTGTTTGTGTCCTGTAGTGATGAGGAGCTGGAGGACTATAAAGCCCTACTCTACCTGCCCATTGCCCCTGAAGTCGAAGACCCAGAGGAAAACCCTTTCGGCCCCCCGCCGGATGCCTCGGTCCAGGCTTCTGCTCCAGAGGACGCGTTGGCTGGTGGAGACAAGAAGCAGCGACAACCTTCGTCTGAAGGAGGCCCGGCCAAGAAGAAGGCTCGTACCACCACCATTGAACTGCAGGGGGTGCCCAGTGATGGTGAGAGAGTGGAGCACAACAATAAATACACTCACAGGATGCAATGTCAGGGTCAGGTTTATACAGTATATTTTAACATAGACTGAACTGGATGGATCACATTCTATATCTCTGTAAGATGAGTTGTTCAACTTTGGTGATTCCTTAACCATTGTAATACATATATGTAGCACCATCATCGGGTCAGATTTGTCCAATACTTTGGTTTATCTACAAATGTCTGCAACACTAGTGACATTCCCGTCATCCTCAGCTGCACATTGTGTTTAGTGCTGAAGAGTTAATGTTTGCATTTGATTAAACGGCAAGGTAGAAGCAAATACAGAGGAGGAAAACTGAGACATGGCTGTTGTGCTGTGGAAATTATAATTAATCTACAGTGTGAGACAATTTTAGTACAAGTTATTGAATAGCTTGTCATCATTCACCCCGAGTCCATCCTCTCTCTCCCCAGAGGTGCACCCCCTACTGGGTGTGAAGGGGGATGGCAAGTCCAAGAAGAAGACAGCAGGCCGGCCCAAAGGCTCCAAAGGTAAAGACAAAGACTTCCCCTTCAGGCCCAAGCCCTACAGGGGCGAGCGGCCCTCCTTCCCCATGGAGACCCTGGGCAGCTCTGGCCCAGGAGGAGGAGGAGGAGGAGGAGGAGGAGGAGGAGGAGGAGGAGGAGGAGGGATGAAGGGCAGAGCAGAGGGGGGCCTGGCCACAGGTAAGCACGCCACCGCCCTTGCTGCTGCTGAATCTGGGAGCTCTGCTAGTCCTGCAGCCCTGCTAGTCTGACTGACACCTCACCAGTCCACACTGTCTCCAAGGCCATACCCCCCCCCCCCCCCCCCCCCCCCCCCACCCCACCCCCCCACCCCCTGTACTGCTTCCACCCTACACCACCCCACCCCCAACCAACCACACAGCTCACTGACAGAGACCTACGCTTGCAGTAAAGCCACAGTCTGGAGGTCAGAACATAGACACTCGACCAGTTTTCATTGAATTAGTCAGACTAGATCCACTCGCCTAGATCTGGTCCATTCTGAAATAATGGATATTGCACAATTTGACCAGTCACATAGTTAACCAAGAAGTAATGAGTAGGCCTGTTATTAGTAAAGACTGTAACTGGAGTTCATCTGTCATAAACAATGACAAACATCTTTTAATGTAATATACCAGGAGCAATGTTTCCCTCACTTGATGAGAAAATGGTGACATACACAACATGCCTCTTAGGCCCTTTTTAATATACATTTTACTGTGGTTGTAAGGGAGGGCGATATGATTTTAAAAAAGAAACCATTTTCTGCTTGTGCTGTGAGTTTTTCCTCACACATCGCCACCTAATTGTGACTTACAGAGTCATTTATATCCACTTTTCCCAAAAACAACCGTCTACATTAATGTTTTAATGCAGCTATTTCAGATTTTATTCCAGTGAGATTGTTCTTATGAAATACTGGTTTTGATTCTTGTCATCATGTTAATGGTAAAGTAATGATACAATACAAGTATTATCTAGCTTACAATTTGGAATTTCCTGCCGTATCTGCTTCTGACACATGATTACGGTTGAATACTGGGAATTATTGCTAAAAAATACCTTTTTATGTACCTCCTATTTATAGCATGTGTGGGTGTGTGTGTTTGTGTACTAAAGTCTACCATGTGTAGTTAAACAGGCTCTCCGTCGTAGCTAAATTCTGACCTTGAAATTATGTAATCACAATGATGTAACTGAAACAGCCTTTGCAGGTGTTACATCTTCAGGCTACAAAGGCAGCTCACAGTTCAACTTTTTAAGCTTTTATATTTTTCTTATTGTCAACAAATTCCATGAAAAGACCCAAATCAACAATTAATTCAATAACGAACAAGGGCTGTCTGTGTATCCAAAGCCTGATTTATCTCATTCCTCTGTGCCATAGAGCTCCATTGTGGAGCCACACTGGTGCACTTGGTGTCATGTTCCTTCATGACCACACACACACACCGGGTTTTATTTTGACTCGATCCCAGATTCAACATCCTGCTGCCCCAAATACTTACTGGAGAACCAAGTGTGGATTAAGCTGCTGCTGAAAATAGTCCCCAACAAATGCGGTATTTGTTGTTTGTTAAAAACAACAGTGTACAGCTGTTTTTAAAAAATGAAATGACATATTTGTAAGCTTTAATATTTATATTTATGTCTTCAGTAGGAACTAGAGGCTAACATTTAATCAGGAATCATGTAGGTCATGGGAACAGGGACAGGACAGGATTTTTTTTTCTTTACTGTGTCATGTAGGATTGGGACGGGCCAGGAGTGTTTCTGTGTGAGTGGGATGAGACAGGAGTGACCTCCCGTGTCACCCTCTAGTAAGAACTAATGGGCTTAGAGCTAAGTGGGTAATGAAAGTAATTGAAGGATTGAGAGATGGACTAACTTCTTGTTTCAGTCTTGATTGTTTGACTATAACAAGCTATTTAAAAACACCATATATAATAACAGGTCCTTAAAGATGAACTGTTATTCTACTACAATTTGACCACGTTTGTCCTTGTCTTTCAGACAGAGGCGACTCCTCTTGCTCCTTCAAAGTTTTATCCCTCCCAAACTGTGGCTTTATGACTGTATAACCTCTGCTAACCTCAGCCTCACTCTGACTAATTTGCTGTCATTTGAATTTTGGTGAAGTTGGACTGTAGTTGGCAGATGGGTGTTGACGTGGCTAACGGTGGGATGGTTCAGCTTGTTTCCCCACGGGCTAGCCGGCTAGTCTACATCTACTTCCTGCTTGGCCTTTGACCCTCCTGCTCCCACTCCCACCTCGCTCCTTGGGCTTGTCATGTCAAGTGTGTCTATAGCAACGCTGCTCAGGTCCTGTCTTTTCTGTTTCTGGGTGTGCCGACTGTGTATGTTTATGTAGTCGGTCTGAACTCATTTGCTTTGAATTTCCATCAAAAAGTCTGTTACCCGACAGCTTCATTAACCATGCACCATGTGCAGGATAAATTTAGGATCAACCCCAAGATATGTTGTTTTGTTAAGTTTAAAAAAAAACTAATCGACCATTTTGTACAACACTACATTATTTAAAAATAAGACAAACTCATATTAGCAGTACGCTGGTCATTCTCAGCATAAAATGAACAAACACATGTAAATCATTTGTGCGATCATATCGATGATTGGACGTTTAAGCCTTAGTGTTCTTGGTGTGGCTGGGCAATATGGCCAAAAATGTTATCATGTTAAAAAAATTTCATACCATTCAGTATCAATAATTATCACGATAAATGTCTAATAATTTATTTCTCTAAAGTTTAAAGGCTGATTTTTGCTCCTGAGTGAAAATTGAATAAACCAGATGGTTAATTGTGTGGTTAAACTTTTCTTTATAGTCAGAACGTAACAAACATTTGATGCCAAACAGTGGATCACTTCACAAGTCTGAGGTATATACAATTATGATGAAATCATTTTTCATTCGTTAATTAAATGAAACATTTATTGACGATATATTGAACATTTGTTATATTGTTATTGAGGAAAATTATATTGTGATAATTATTATTATTTTATTGCCCAGCCCTACTTCTTAGTTTCATATTCAATAGTAGCTCAACAGTGATTCAATGTGAAATGGCATAGTAGAAGTTATCAGAAATAATTAGTGAATGAACTGTGTTATTTGTTAAAACAGAAAGTGTTTTTTGCAGAGGTGAGTAGAGCTGCAACGATTAATCAGTTATTTGTGACTATTAAATTGGCAACGGTTTTGATAATCTGTTTGAGTAATTGTTTAAGAAAAAAGGTCTAAATTCTCTGATTTCGGCTTTTTAAATGTGAATATTTTTCGGATTTCTTAACTCTGTGACAGTAAAATGAAATTTGATGACATCATCTTGAGCTTTGGGAAACACAATGCTTGACATTTTTCACTATTTTGTGGCATTTTTTAGACAAAACAACTAATCGTTTAATCGATAAAATAACCGATAGAATCGTCAGTGAAAGTAATTGTTAGTTGCAGCCCTTAGTGGTGTGTGTGAAATGCCTCTGTTGCATTGATGAATTAGTGCTGTGGAAATGCCCATTAATGTCTCACCTGATAAATTCATTGTAGACTACAGGTAATTCCACCCTTCCTGCGGGCCTTTATTAGCTACCGGTATTTAATTGTTTGTGTTGGCTATTATTTGAGATTTGACCGGTATTTGAACTCTGTTTTTAGTTTTAGTCTAAGGAGAACAATGTCTTATTGTCTATGACACGGCTGTCTGACAGAATTTGTGTTCCTCAGCAGGGAGTCTGGTCTCACAGTCGTACAAACAACATGACGTTGGAGGGATGGACTGATCACGGCTGCGTACAGTTGTGAAGGAGCACCAACAGGCTTAAACAAAAGGACACACAAAGCCTGATGTCATATTCAGACTGTGGTTGAGCGGCCTGTCTGATGTGCAGACTGCTTCCTCTCCCAACCAGAGCACAGTATCACAGGAAAACTCCTCAGTCCGGATCACGGGAGCCGACAAAGAGCGCGTGAAGCAGCCGAGTCGTCGCAGTAGAGATCACGTCCTCTGTCTCTGTAGGATACGTCATGTATAGAACGCCTGTGTGTTTGTCTTTGTGTGTGTTGTCTGTCTTGTTGTTTTTATACATATTAAAACATTTTGATTTATAAATAAATAGCTGTTGTGTGGTTCTGTGTGTAAGCTTGAATTCATCTTTGGATCTTGACAGATTTCTGAAAGTGGGAAAATTAATCTGTAGCAGTGTTAATAAAATGTCTCAAGGTTTAAAGTTTGGCCTAATTGTCCGAGTTTGGTTCAGGAGTACTCAGCATTTTAGAAGTAATCCTAATTCATTAAGACTTACTCGCAGTCAGTGAACTGTGCCCCCTTGTTTTAACGTTTTGGAAGAAATATTAACTTTTATAAACATTTCAGTGTTCCAACAAATCAAAACAGCCCAATAACACTGGAGAAGATGTGTTGCACAAGTCTACCATTTGCAGTGTGTGATCATGTACATGTATATCGTAAAACTTCTATTTAAAAGCGTAGTCCTAATTAGATGCCTGTCCAATTTACTGGCCTGGTGTGGCTCCACATTTTGACCAATAACACAAGTCTCAATTAAAAGCCTGGGCAGATTTTTTTATTTTATTTTATAAAAGTTCTTTGGATGTATGAAACTCCTTGAAGCCCACTGTGTTGTCTGCTAGTTAAGTTATTCAGTTCGTTTTACGGAAACAGTGAGTACCAAAGTGTTATTCATTCAGATTTACTGGTAAAGGAATTAAAGGCCTGTCCCAGATAGATGCAGATTAATTGAAGTTTTATGGTATGTACATATCTTTGATGCAGTAGTTATACTGTACTGTACTACATTTTTATTTTTTTATTTATCCTTTATTTAACCAGAAAGGTCCCATTCAGATACAATATCTGTTCTGCCAGGGAGCCCTGATCAAGATGCGAATAAATAAATAAAAACGTTTCATATAAAAGTACAGATGGAAACCGATAACATCACAATAAAAGATACCAAAACAAAATATAAAAGGAATCAGACTCTAAAAAGAATCATTGCACTTTTTAAAAGCAGTAACGTTGTTCCGTCAAACCTGATTTTATAATATATTTTTGAACATGTCAAAAGAGGGTAACAATTAGTATTTGAATGCACTGTTTTTACTTGTAATTGAGTATTTTTACACTTTTACCTGATTTAGCCAATCAGAGGAGGAGGTTTAATCGATAACAGTGCATTGTATTTTATAAACTCATCATATGTTAGGTAATCTATTAACTTTTAAGTAACTAGAATCCAAAGCTATTAAATAAATGTAGTCGAGTAAAAACTACAGTTGTTCCCTCTGAATTATAGTGGCGTGTTCGTATAAAGTAGCATAAAATGGATATAAAACAGTAGTCTACCTGAAATTTGTATAATACATGAGTAAATGTTCTTTTCACAGGTAGTTTGACAAATTCTCAAGTTATTTCCAAAGATGTTAACACCAAACTGTACTTTTCTCATGTAAATGCATTATCTACTTTACGTTGTCACTTCTGGATCCACTCACATTGTTTGTCACGCTGTCCAAAGTACAGTCCTCCGTCCCACCTGTCCAACCCTTTTGACACCTGCTCTGACCAATTACAGTGGAGTAGGCGGGACATCAGTGGACACCTGTGGCTGGGAGCGGTTGCTCAACTTGTCAATCAAAACATCACCAAAACACCAATCAAGCTAGACCAAGAGCTAAATGTGAAGTGCTTAAAAAAAAAAGCAACTAAACAAAGGCGCTGTAAAGAAATAATAGGTTGACATAATGCCATAATTGTCAAAATACTAAAAAAAAGGAACAAGAGTCATGATATTATGTTAATAAATATTGTATTTTTTGTCAATAATTTTAGGACTTTTCTCATAAAAATATTACTTTCTGCTTGTGATAGGTTTTTTTTTCTTAATATAAATGTCTTCTGATATGACACATATTTGATAACAACTTGTCTTAGTGTCACATATTTTTGTAATATGACTTTTATCCTCCTAAAACTATGACTTTTTTGCATATTATGATTTTTTTGGGTAAAATTACGATTTTCTTACTCATAGATCTTCCCGCAACATTACTTTTTCTTAAAAACTACAACTTTCTTTTGTAACATAATTTTTAAATTTTGTAATAAAAATTCTTTTTGTGCATGTACTCTCACTTCTTCCTCAGAATATTACAACTTTATTAGCATAATGACATTTTTTCATAGTTAAATTTTGTAATAAAAATTCTTGTTTTTCTTCTTTTAATTGCTTTTCTTTTAATGAAACCATTTCTTAATCTCATAATATTAATAAGACATTTTATTGTAAAATTACTTTTATCCTTGTAAAACTATGACTTTATTCACAACATATGACTTTTTTTTCATGTAAGATTATGATTTTTTTTTACTCTTCGTGTAACATGACTTTTTTTTCTTGAAAAATTACAACTGCATTTCCATAATAAATAAGACTTTACTCTGATCACTAACGATTTCTTTTTCAAAACATTTTTAATTTTTTCGTCCTCTCGCTGCCTACTGGGACTTTTATTCTGAAGCTTTGGTCGGAAGAAGTATTTTGGTGGGGAGCATGGACATCCGGGGCCGGGCAGAAGCAGAAGTCAGTCGGCCCTGAAGTACCTCAGAGTTACTGCTAGCAGACAGTAGTACCAGTCTGAGTACGTGTATGTTGCCGTGCCGTCGTGTGTTACTTTCTGGCCGTTAACGGGAGCTCTGTGTGTCGTCGTTGGTGTGATGGAAGTGGACAAAATGGACGAGAACGACTGGAAGTACCACGGAGAGGGAAACAAGAGCCTGGTGGTCTCACACGTACAGGTGAGTAAGGCTAGGCTAACATGAAGCTAATCCAAGTTCGGCGAAAACAGCAGGATGAGTGAACGTTTAATTTAGCTTTAAGGTGACACCCAACGCCCGCTTTACACTTTTCTAACGTTAAAAATGCTTCACCTCGGTGTTGCTGCCTTTGGAAACTTTGTTTTGAATGTCTGGGAAGTGTGTTTATGACCGAAGGGTGAAATGTCAACTGTCAGGATTTCATTTATCACAGTTACCGTTAGCCTGTGTCTGCTGGCCTAGCCGGCATGTCAGTCAACAGAAAAAGAGTTCACATTATAGTCAAATCAATGAAGAGGATTGTTACACAGGGACAAAAACGCTTTTAAAACACCACCAATGATTAGAAAGTACATGTAGATGTATGTCCAGTATGTGACGGACTGACTGGGTGGTGTTAAGTCATAAAACTGTTAGATCCTAACGGGGTGCTTTGGAGCTAAGGTAACGTTAGCAGCTCCCCAGATTTTTCCTCCAGCTGCTGGTTGAAGGAGCAAAACACTTTACTGGGCTGCCGCCTTACTGGACCTTTCTGTTAGACGAGTCTAAGGCAGTCTTGTGATTTCATTTCCATGCAGGTTAATTTGTGCTGTCTGACCTGTCAGGGTGGTGCCTTCACTGTCTCATTCACGGGACCCGTCTGTCATATTGTTGAGCAATCATCATAGCAGCAGTCTTGCAATGAGCTTTTTTTTGGGTGGCCTTGATGTTGTTTACATTGTAGTAGCTATAATTTTGTGCTGGGCAACATTTCAGTGTTATTGATGATCATATTGTTTGATTACTTTTCAAAATTAAGTTGAAAGTAGTGATTCTGTAGTGTAATTGAAAATGCTGATACTAAAATTATGATTTTAAATGAGGAATGTTTGGATCAGAAACTCATACATTTGATGCTAGCTTTCAGTTCTTGCCATTTTTTTGGATAGTTGATACTATAGACACACTTAGCATCAACACCTTTGGAGCCCTACACTCAAGAGTTTTGTCAGATGTTCTGCACCACAGTTCATTGTATGAAGTTGTATATTTTGTTCGTGATTTGCTCCAAATGGTGAATTCTACATTTCTAACAGTGAATGTTACAGTATGACATAATGCTGCATGTGACTCCACTGAGAGAAAGGCGGAATAGATAGATATTATTGATGGGTGAAATGGATGCAATCTCTGGAAATCCAATTGCTGTTTATGGTTTAAAAACAAGCCCAGACACAAATATCTGACATATCAATATGGCTGTCCCAGAGTTCAGATGTTCCTAGTCGACTAGTCGTCACACATCAGAAAATGTGTGTTAAAGTAACATTGTTAACAAGTGTGAACCAACCGTGAGAGTGAAATGGTGGAAGGATAAACAGGGACAGAGTATGACAGAGGCATTTGCACTTTTCAGATAATCATCTCTGTACATAACTCTAGGTGTCTGTGATTAGGAGTGAGTAGGAAACTAGAGAAACTTGTTTTCCTAGGCTATATTTGGTCTGATAGCACAAGTTAGGGGCGTTTGACATGTATTGTGTACAATAATAATATCATAATTGTTGTTTTAATGACGTGTGAGCAGACATTATCGATTACGTTCCGTCACTTACTTTGCAAAAAACTTTCACAAACACCTTGTACGCACAGTAACTGCGTGATGCGTCATGCATGTAGTACATGGGTGTAAAGGTAAACAAGCAATTACTGCTGAAAAATTCATGACTGAAATTAAAAATTAGTGAACAAACTACGCCTGGAGATAAAAAAAAAAAAAAAAAAAAAAAAAACTGACACCACCAGCCTCACAATCTATGTCGAACCGCTGGACGTGGATCAACCTCACTCGCAGTGAAGGTGGTTTGACTTTGAAAAGACGGATGTTGCCCAAAAGATGTCAAACTATTTTGAAAAACTATTTTTTGGTTGCTGTTAAAGACTACAATCTAACCACCACATGAAAAGCTTCAGAGTCAGCTGTCCATGACAGTCCTGAACCAGCCAAGATACCAGCATGAAACAGAACTAGGAACTCCCTGTGTTTCCACCAAATGGACCAGGGTCTAAATTTAGTTCTAGGGTCTTTATTTTACCTCCTAAAAAGTCCCTGCTTGGGGGGTAGTACTTTCTTAAAGTACCGGTACTTTGGGCTGGGGGGGAGCTTGCTTTGCAGTGAAATTCTGAATGGATGAGTGGAGGCTACTGGTTTTAACTCGAGCGTGTTTGCTGCTTTAACTCGAGCCTGTCTGCTGTTTTTCTATGACTACTCCTCTAGTTTCCACTGTTGTTTGCAAACAAATACAGTGGGTACGGAAAGTATTCAGACCCCTTTAAATTTTTCACTCTTTGTTTCATTGCAGCCATTTTCCAAAAATCAAAAAAGTTCATTTTATTTCTCAGTAATGTACACTCAGCACCCCATCTTGACAGAAAAAAAACAGAAATGTAGAAATTTTTGCAAATTTATTAAAAAAGAAAAACTGAAATATCACATGGTCATAAGTATTCAGACCCTTTGCTCAGTATTTAGTAGAAGCACCCTTTTGATCTAATACAGCCATGAGTCGTTTTGGGAAAGATGCAACAAGTTCTCCACATCTGGATACGGGTATCCTCTGCCATTCCTCCTTGCAGATCCTCTCCAGTTCTGTCAGGTTGGATGGTAAACATTGGTGGACAGCCATTTTCAGGTCTCTCCAGAGATGCTCAATTGGGTTTAAGTCAGGGCTCTGGCTGGACCATTCAAGAACAGCCACGGAGTTGTTGTGAAGCCACTCCTTCGTTATTTTAGCGGTGCGCTTAGGGTCATTGTCTTGTTGGAAGGTAAACCTTCGGCCCAGTCTGAGGTCCAGAGCACTCTGGAAAAGGTTTTCGTCCAGGATATCCCTGTACTTGGCCGCATTCATCTTTCCCTCGATTTCAACCAGTCGTCCTGTCCCTGCAGCTGAAAAACACCCCCACAGCATGATGCTGCCACCACCATGCTTCACTGTTGAGACTGTATTGGACTGGTGATGAGTAGTACCTGGTTTTCTCCACACATACCGCTTAGAATTAAGGCCAAAAAGTTCTATCTTGGTCTCATCAGACCAGAGGATCTTATTTATCACCATCTTGGAGACCTTCAGGTGTTTTTTAGCAAACTCCATGCGGGCTTTCATGTGTCTTGCACTGAGGAGAGGCTTCCGTCGGGCCACTCTGCCATAAAGCCCCGACTGGTGGATTGCTGCAGTGATGGTTGACTTACTACAACTTTCTCCCATCTCCCGACTGCATCTCTGGAGCTCAGCCACAGTGATCTTTGGGTTCTACTTTACCTCTCTCACCAAGGCTCTTCTCCCCCGATAGCTCAGTTTGGCCGGACGGCCAGCTCTAGGAAGGGTTCTGGTCGTCCCAAACGTCTTCCATTTGAGGATTATGGAGGCCACTGTGCTCTTAGGAACCTTAAGTGCAGCAGAATTTTTTTTTGTAACCTTGGCCAGATCGGTGCCTTGCCACAATTCTGTCTCTGAGCTCTTCAGGCAGTTCCTTTGACCTCATGATTCTCATTTGCTCTGACATGCACTGTGAGCTGTAAGGTCTTATATAGACAGGTGTGTGGCTTTCCTGATCAAGTCCAATCAGTATAATCAAACACAACTGGACTCAAATGAAGGTGTAGAACCATCTCAAGGATGATCAGAAGAAATAGACAGCACCTGAGTTAAATATGAGTGTCACGGCAAAGGGTCTGAATACTTATGACCATGTGATATTTCAGTTTTTCTTTTTTAATAAATTTGCAAAAATTTCTACATTTCTGTTTTTTTCTGTCAAGATGGGGTGCTGAGTGTACATTACTGAGAAATAAAATGAACTTTTTTGATTTTTGGAAAATGGCTGCAATGAAACAAAGAGTGAAAAATTTAAAGGGGTCTGAATACTTTCCGTACCCACTGTATATCACAATCAACAGTCAGATAGCACACACAAGTCTCGCCGATGTCCGCCTGAGATCGTACCTCAGTATTAAATGTATTGCTCGGAAACAGTAGCCAGTGTGCAGTGGCGTGTTTGCAGCAAACAGCTGATGGAGCTACGCTAAATACTGGGTCCAGAGTTGTTGTTTTAAGTTTTCATGAGGAAAGGAAGTTTTTATACAGAGCTGAAGTCGGTCTCCTCTTCTCCAAAACAAGCGGAACAGCTGATTACAGCAGGTATTAAAGCTCGTTAAAAGTCCCATTCCTGCGATGCTCAGGCGACACAGATGTGATGCTGCAGGTTGATCCGCAGCTCTTGTCGGCTGGAAATGTTTTGATAACCTTCAAAATTGTCGCAATTTTATTTTTGTGTTTCTTTCTCTGTGCTGCAGTTAATTTAAGAACTTGATGGCTTTATCCAGTTTGTTATTAAATGTGTTACAAACTATCACATGTCTCTCCATTATACTCCCACACAAAAAAGCTGTTTTTAATGGTCAAGTATAGCCTATAGCTTTTCACTATATTCCAATCAAATCTGATGTTCATTTATAAATTTTTCTCATGGATAGTGGTCACTAAATAACGATGCCTGTGCATTGCTTGATACAGTGTATAGGCCTACAGCCTACGTCAGCTGGTTAATTTGCCTAATCTTCAAAGGTCTTTAGACCACAGTAGAAATGCACACAACAGTAGACCGAAGAGACCTTTTAGTTCCTTGAAAAGAGATCCGGGGACTTAAAAGTCCCGTGTACTTTTTGTTGATACGCGGCTTATGACATCAGGGCTAATATAGTGACAGATGAAATGGTTTACTCATACTTGCACTGTTTGATGTCAGTAATATTTGTTATTATATAGATTTCACTTAAATGCAATTTAAATAGTTTTGAGAAGCTGCAGTTTTTATTCACCGGTCACTGTAACTTACACTGTACATCACTGCTAAACTGATGGCTTATTGCTGACCCATTTCTCTCTGCTCTGCTGCCATTCACCAGCACACCTGTTTGCACACACACTTACTCTGTCTCCTCCTCCTCTACCACACACACTACTTTTACAAACACGTTTGTGAAAGATGCCAAATATTGTCCCAGAAGATATCTAGATATCGGACACCCTTAGCATGAGTATAAAACATCTGTTACCATCTCTAAAACCAATCACAAGTAGTGAAGTTTGTCACTTAAAGCAATGGTATGAAGCTGCAGTACTGGAGGCTGCAGTTTCAGGTCTTCTCAGAAGGCAGCAGGGCGAACAGGCAGTGGCTGGGGTGGGTACTGTTTTTAACAGAAGAGGACATCCATTTAATTGCAACCTGGCTTGGATTGAATTCCTCCATTGTGTGGCATTCAGTGAAATATTTAATTACCTTCTTAGTCTTCCTGTCCATCTGGTTTGAGAAGTATATGTAATGCACGTTCAACATGAGGAATCCAGTGTCAGCCTTTTACCCTGGCAAGGTATCTAATAATGTTGATTGAAGTCCTAATCCTTCATTAGTAATCAGGGGGAGCTGTTCTGACAAGGCTGACTTGGCTGAATGATGGTTTTCATTTGATTTTTTCTGCCAGGTCAGACTTTATTTCATTAGCTATTGTTGTACAGGTCTTTTAAAGATGGATCCACTTGCGCTCTAAACTTATTTTATTCAAAGTCAGACTAAAACTGCCTCTAGAAGAATAAATGAAGTAAGTTTCCACCTATGATCTGACTGAAAATATTATAAAATTTAAGCTGTAAGGAAAAACTGTCCTCCCACTGCAGCATCTGTTCCAAAAGTGTTTCAGCAACACAAGTAAAATAATCAGGGCATGGTTCAAAATTAATGTTAGGAGAGAACATTTGGTTACTCATCACCTGAGGCGTGTAAATGTGGATCGAGGTAACAGCAGTGCGTTGTCAAGATACCTACATAACCTGTTTTCTCAAAGGAATCTGGTTTTGTGTAGGCATGTAGATACTGATTAAAATGTCCTGATATCTGTTCTGTCGTCTCAGGTAAATTGATGTTTATTTGACACACAAGTGCTGACGGAAGTAGTCACTGTTGTGCAGTAAATTTCCAGTGTATTTGAGGGTGTGTTTGAATGTTCTTTAGACAACCAGAAACACATCCAACTCGTAGTCTGATGCTAATGATGCTAGCTAAAATTGATAGCCTACAAAGGGTTTTCCCTGATTTCACCTCAGGCTTTAGAGAATGGACTGACTTATTTTGTCAGAAAACTGTATCAGTATTTTTACCTAACTCAGGAATATTTAGAAGATTGACCCTGCCTAGTGGTTCAGGTGTGATTCCAGGTTTGTCCTGAGTTTTAAATAAGGTTCCACTGATCCTAAACAAACTTCTCTTCTGTTCTTGCAGCTTTCCAGAGTTTTACGCCTGCTCAAGTATCCAGCAGAGGACTCTGAAAACCCACCACAGGTAAATATGGGTCTGTGTGCGTCTGAAGCTAAAGCCTGGTCCAAATTACAGATCAGTAAAAACATCTCAATGCAGATCACACAGCAAGTTGTGGGAATGTTGCAATTTCTTTCTTTACAAAATAGAGAAACTGTAGGCAGACACTTTAAGCCCAATGTTAACCCCAAAGTGGTCGCATCCACTCATTTTAGCATCCGGACCCAACCTCTCCCAGATTGGCTGTCATTTGATGTTCAGTTTGAGGGGAGTCGATGCTGTCAAAGGATCCATTATAAACTGTAATGAGCTTGTTTTAATATTATCGAAGTGTTATTTTAGATGTTGTGAAGTCAACTGAACTTCAACCACATACAGAAGTCTATTCTAACCTCCAGTTCTCACTTCAGAGCAGACCGAACTGTCCTCGTCTTCCCCCGTCTGCAGCTCCATTCTTCTAATAAAACTTGGCAATGGAAGGAATACATTCGATGTGAGCTCTTAACATCATGACTGGTTGATTAATTTGAAAGTGTATAGTGTGAGTTAAGACGATATACAAGATTAATATAATGGTACAGTGTCTGTCCGGCTCTAGGCTGCTGCACGGTGGATCAGAGATGCACTGTTACAGCTGAGTAAACACTAGATTTAAAAACATTAATACAGACAATGACACTGCTCAAATTTTAATTCCTGCCTCCTGGCACATTCTCTGACAAGCTCATGGCCAGAGCTGAAGATATGACTGATAGGACGAGTTATCTTAATTCCTAATTAACATGATCTGGCATGGGCAGTTATAGATATGACTTTGTGACAGCAGGTTACAGAGCACTACATGCTGCAGAGGACTACCTACATAAACAAGTGATAACTGCGCCTTTGTCAAATCATCAGAGCAAACCACATCCGCACCGATATTTATTTGTTTTATTTTGTCACTGACACTTTATTTAATAAAGCAACAACACCTTGTCAAATCAAATAAAACATTTGTCCTAAAACAACAGTGTCATGGCTGCACAGGGCGATGTCGCACTGCAGCTGAAGGCACACAGGTGTTGTATTAAATTGTTTGTTTTGTTAAATAACCCATCATATCTAATCATGTCTGTCAAGATGATTGATCCGTAACTTAGAGGAGAAAACAGACGTCTGATGAGGTTTAAGCTCTGGTTCGTACCTGTTGGCAGGGTTACAATATAAACTGAGCAGCACTGTGCTCCACTTAGTCACATCTCTGTTTACTGTCAGTGGAGCAGCTGCTGATCTTATATCCTGGACAGATTAAAGGCTTGGAAGGCACACTGATCCAAATGTAAACCAAAGTGTAGCCCTGCCCTACCTCTGAAATTCAAATTTTACTTGGAGCTGCTCATCTGCTGCTTTTACTCTGAAGTTGACTGACCTTTAATACAGGGACTAAATGTTAACAACAGCTAAATTTAAGGACATTTTTTGATGCAGTTAAATATTTATTTAAGTTTTATTTGTAGACGCAGGATGAAAACTGACTCATACTTGTAATTCATCTTAAAGCCAAAGTCATTTAATATAAAGTTATTTGTTGTTTGAAAGGTTTCTCTACTTTTGATCCTCATTAGAAATCCAGGGCAATTTTACAAACATTTGGGTTAACCAGCTAAATTTCGGTTTAACCCTGCCAGAAAATAAGTGAGCTGAGCTGACTTTCTCAATCTCTTTGTGCCTCTTTGAGCTCAAATAATAATAATAATGTCAGTACCGGATATAACTTGCTCTTTTACCTGTGTGTTTATGTGCCTGTCTTTGTGTTTGTCCTTTAGACGGTGGAGCAGGCCTTCAGGCAGATCCAGAACATTGTTGATTTCAGCTCCAACGTCATGAGTAGCCTTCTGGGAGAGAAGTTCATCCACAGTGGGGTAAGAGAAGCACACCTTTTTTTCTTTTTATCACTTTTGTCTTTATTTAAGGTTACATCCACACTAGTATGATCTCCGTCCGCACCAGTGTTTTAGCTGCATTTCAGAACCGATCTCGGTCTATATTAAAACAACTGAGAACGCACATGAAGAGGCCATTCACGTACACTGTGCATGCGCGTTCCAGTGTAAACAGGAAGCAGATTGTCTACTCTGCATTTGCAGAAGATTTGTTTTTTTTGCATGGACCAACAATGAGGTGGAACTGTTAATGAAAGTAACATGGGAGTAAAAAGAGAAACTGGGGGTCGTTGCAAAGTAAATACAGCGACATGCACAGTGCAAGTGTTATTTGCACAGTACAAAATATTTTAATAAAAATACCAAATCACACTGTCAGCAGCATTGTGTTTTTGCAATCAGGAGTGTCTGCGTCATCGTTTTTAAAGTCCTAAAACGCCACCCCGGATTTTTTTTAAACGAAAACGAGTCAGCAGCGTTTTGGCCGTTTTCAAACTTCTTCCGTTCTATTTCGTATAGGCTTCGCCCTCTAAGAGCTGTCGCTATTGGGTTCATCCCCGCGCGCATGCGCAGTCCTGAAGATTTCTTTCGCGCCCATGTGCCGTGCACGGGCCTCTCTCAGGTCCGCAATTTAGGTATATAATACCGGCGAGACCAGAGATCTGCTCCCCTTTTTTCTTCAGCGCTGCATAGCAGTCACTTTGGAGAGCAGAGTAGCGTCTAAAGAGCAATTTTCCTGACTAAAGAGCTTTTCCTATGGCTACTCACCGCTCTACCACTGAGGTCCGCCTCTGCCCGTCCTGCCACGCCGGCTACATCATGGGGTTTGATCTCCACGCCCGCTGCGAGACCTGCCTCGGTCCCCAGCACGCTGGCCTGGCTCTGACTCCCCGGGCCTCGTGCCCCTACTGCACACAGCTGCCCGTGGAGGAGAAGCGACGGCGGGTCGACGCCTTCGCGGCCCTGCAGGAGGAGGAGGACGACGAAGCTAGCTGGGCTAAGCCAGTTAGCTTCACGGCGGACCTCGCCGGCGGGACTGCTGGCGATGCAGGGCTCGAGTCCTCTGACTCTGCTCCCTCCATTGCTGGCTCCCCGCCAGGCTCTCCCCTCTTCCCGCTGGAAGACTTTGACTTGGATAAGAAGGCGGCGTCGCTGGCTCCTGCTCCACTTCCGCCTTCCAGCTTGCCGTCCTGCGGGGCTCTCCTCCGGGATCTCCCCGACATAATAAAGACGGCTGCTGAGCGCAAGGGCGTGCCGATGCCTGCTGAGCCTCCTGCACCTGCTCCTAGCGCCATGCTCGGCGACATCTACCAGCCAGAGCAAGCCTCCAAACAGGTTCCTGTGTGGCCCCTTTTTCCACCGCTTCAGCCTTTTCTCTCCGAAGCGGGGGCCGAGCCTGGGAAGCTGAAGGCGCCGGTGGCGAGGTACGTCAACTTCACGAAGGTCGAGGGCCTCACTGACCGTGGGTTTCCCTCTGTCCCACCTCTGGAGCCCAGCCTGGCAGCCATCCTGCTGCCTAAAGCCACCTTTTTCGGCAGGAGGAAGCCGACTCCGCCCTCCGCCCGCGACCAGGTGACGGCTCGAGTCACGGACCGCTCCCACCAGTGCGCCGCCCAGGTAACAGCCGCCATCAACAACATATCGCTGCTGGCCTCGTCCATGTCATCTGTCGCTGCTCAGCCCGACGCCCTTTCCCCCGAGCCGCCAGCGAGTTTGGGAAAGCCGCGGCCGCCATTTTGTCGCTCGCCACAGCGGCGGCGGTCGGCCAGTCCCGGATTATGGCGTGGATGACACATGTCCGATCTGCCGGAGCAGATCAGGAAGGAGTTGCTGGACGGCCCCATCAGCCCCGATGGGCTGTTTGGGCCGCTCCTCCAGGATGCAATCACACACATGCAGCAAGCTTCGGACGAGGCGGACAAGGTGAAGCGGCACACAGCGTGGAGCAGAGCGCCACCTCAACACCCACGGCGCTCACAGGGCTCCCGGCGTGATCGCCGCGACTCCCGCCCCAGGCCGAGGCGCCCCGCGGCCACTGCTGCGGCTGCGCCTCCGCCGGCTCCAGCCGAGGCCCCCCGGGCTCCTCCGGCGGCCGCTGCTCCTTCTTCACAGCGCCGCCCTGCAGTCAAGAACAGGCGAGCGGCTTGCTCCTGGTCCAACCCCCCCGCCGAGCCTCCCCGCAAACAGCGGAGGTATTGACGGGACGCGGGGGACGTGTGTTTTCTTCCCGGAACAGCCGGACACAACGGCTCTTTTCAGAGCCAACCAAATGTCCATAAAGAGCATGTTCCTAACAGTCAGCCTGCCCCTCTCTCCCCTGAGCTTCCTGCAGCTGATAAAACGCACGTCTCCCACACACAAGCAAGCTCCGCTGCGCACGCACACGCTGCGTCAGTTGTTGAGCCGCTGTTGTCCCTCTCTCATATTATCATGAGTGAAAAACATTCACATCAGATAAACACAACAGCCCACCCGCACTCCCTGCCTCTCTGCGGCCTCCCCACCTCTCACCCTTCAGTGTGTGTTAGTGGAGGTTTTTCACCGTGGCACGAGTCTGACACTGAGAATGAGCGGCCCGAGTGTTTCACACTATCGCCGCCGCAGCCCTTTCAACTCTGCCCTCCCATGGGCCGTGTCGAGCGGCTCTGCAGCTCACACGGCGGCGGAGAGGGCTCTTCTCTGGCTGTCAGAAATGTCCACAGAGGCCCCCCAGATTTTTGCTCGCCTGCTTTCAGAGCGTTGCTGCGCGTGGCAAAATCTGCCCATGAACGAGTGGATGGCGAGATTAATAAAGAAGGGTTACACTCTCCAATTCGCCAGCCCCCCTCCTCCTTTCAGCGGGGTGCTGGAGACCGTCATGTCATCGCAGTCAGAGACATCTGCTCTGATGGCAGAAATAACAGAGCTCCTGAGCAAAGGAGCGATTTCAAAAGTCCCGCGGGGCGAGGAGAACGAGGGCTTTTACTCCCGTTACTCCCTGGTGCCCAAGAAAACGGGCGGAATGAGGCCGATCCTGGATCTCTCCTCCTTCAACAAATGCATAATGAGGAGGCCGTTCCACATGCTCTCAGTCAGGCACGTATTGGAATGTGTACGTTCCGGGGATTGGTTCGCGTCCATCGACCTAAAGGACGCTTATTTCCATGTCCCCATCATCCCCAGACACAGGAAATTCCTGCGTTTCTCTTTCAGAGGAGCCCAGTTTCAATACAACCGCCTGCCTTTCGGCTATTCTCTGGCCCCGCGCACGTTCTCCAAATGTGTGGAGACAGCGCTGGAGCCGCTGCGCAGGTCGGGCGTCAGAGTGTTGTTTTACCTGGACGACTTGATTGTCATGGCATCGTCCAGGGAGAGCTGTGCGCTACACACGATGAAGCTCGTGAAACACCTGTCCCGCCTGGGTTTTGCCATAAACTGGCAGAAGAGCTCTCCTCTCCCCTCCCAGTCAATAATCTATCTGGGAGTGCATCTGGACTCAGCCCGCATGAGAGCCAGATTATCTCCAGCCAGGCTGGAAGCTCTCCGCTCTCTGCTTTCACGCATCGCTCCACACCAAGTGGTAACGGCTTTGTCTGTGATGCGTCTACTGGGCATGATGTCGGCCAGTCACGTGGTGGTCCCTCTGGGTCTCCTCCACATGAGGAAAATCCAGAGATGGTTCGGCCGTCTCCGCCTCGATCCCATAAAGCACAAAAGACGCCTGCTGTCCGTTCCCCCCTCAGTACAGTCAGACCTGACGTACTGGAAATCCCCTCACGTGCTTTCAGCGGGGTCCCCCCTCGGGAAAGTGACGTCACATGTCACAGTGTACACGGACGCGTCCCTCATTGGCTGGGGCGGGATGTGCCATTCTCACGTGGTGGGAGGGAAATGGCCACAGCCTCCATCTCTCCACATAAACTGCCTGGAGCTGTCCACAGTGCTGAAAGTGCTGAAACACTTTGCTCCACTCCTGAGAGACAAACATGTGCTGGTGAGAACAGACAACATGACAGCCGCGGCTTACATAAACCGTCAGGGCGGCGTCCGCTCGGCTCGGCTACTAGAGATAGCCAGGAGCCTGCTGCTGTGGGCCCACGCGAACCTGCGCTCTATCAGAGCACTCCACATTCCCGGTGTTCAGAACCGAGCCGCGGACCTCATGTCACGCGGCGGTCCGTCTCAGAACGAGTGGAGACTGAGTTCCACTCTTACTCAGGAACTGTGGGACAGATTCGGGGAGTCAGAGATAGATCTGTTCGCCTCACGAAAAACGCACAGTGCGCACTGTGGTTCTCACTGAACGCACGGGACGAGCCGCCACTGGGCGTGGACGCCTTCTCACACAGCCCGTGGCCCAGAACGCTCCTTTATGCTTTCCCCCCGGTTCCTCTGATTCCCCGCCTCCTGGCGCGCATTCAGGAGGAGCTCCTAACAGTGATTCTGGTGGCACCAGAACGCACGAGCGCATCATGGTTTCCAGTGATGATTCAGCTGCTGTCGGGGAAACCGTGGCAGCTGCCGTGGCGCAGAGACGCGCTCTCACAGCTGGACGGAGCCATCCTACACTTCCCAGTGATAGGTCAGCGTTTGTGGGCTTGGCCCCTGAACGGGAGCGCCTTGAAAGATTAGGATTGCCCCCTAATGTGGTGCGCACCATCCACGGCGCTAGGGCTCCCTCCACTACTGCTTCTTATAGAGCAAAGTGGTCCGCTTTTCAGCACTGGTGTGTGGAAAGAGACACGGACCCCGTCTCGTGTCCCTTATCTCTTGTTCTGTCCTTCCTCCAGCTGCTGGTGGACAGAAATCTGGCTTTATCCACAGTCAAATGTACGTGGCGGCCATCTCTTCCTGCCACGAGGGCTTTGGAGAGAGATCGGTTTTTGCGCATCCGCTGGTTAAGCGTTTTTTAAGAGGAGTGAGAAGGCAGCGGCCTGTCACGCGCCCCTTGGCGCCACAGTGGGATTTACCGCTTGTGCTGCGCGCTCTGAGCAATCCCCCCTTTGAGCCACTGCCGCAAACTTCTCTCAGACTGCTGTCTTTGAAGACAGCCCTCCTTTTGGCACTGACCTCTGCTAAGAGGGTGAGCGATCTGTGCGCTCTCTCAGTCGCTCCATCTTGTCTCGCTATCAGAGCTGATGGGAGCTCCGCCACCTTGAGGCCGAACCCAGCGTTCATGCCCAAGGTTATAACTAGCTCCTTCAGGTCACGGATTATTTCCCTGGAAGGTTTTTTCCCTCCTCCTCATCGAAACGAGGCGGAGGAAGCATCTCATCGTCTCTGCCCGGTGCGCGCGTTGTCTCATTATGTAGAGCGCACGGCTGCCCTCAGAAAAACTCAACAGCTGTTTGTTCACTACAGAGAGCATTCACGAGGCAAGTCTCTGTCAAAACAACGGTTGGCTCATTGGCTGTGTGAGGCCATCACACAGGCGTGCGTTGCGGCTGGGGAGGACCCCCCACCCGGCATCCGTGCGCACTCGACAAGAGCCGTGTCCTCCTCCACAGCGCTGTTCAGCGGGATGGCTGTGGAGGATATTTGCACAGCGGCATCATGGGCTTCACCCTGCCCCTTTATCCGCTTCTATTTACGCAATGCATCGGGGTTTTCTCTAACGCACTCGGTACTGAATGTTCTGGAGACCAGGCGCGACGCTGCTGGCTCGGGCACATTACGCACACATAGGCTTCCCTGTAAAGGAGCCGGTAAGGCTCCTCTTGCCACGGGCTGTTGGGGCTCCTTCTGTCTTAGTTGCGCTCCAGTTGGACTGCCACAATGCGTAACAACCGTCCTTACTGTTCCCTCAACATAAGCCGCAGTGTGCGTCTGTGTGTGCCTGTACTCTGGGCGTTCTCGTGCGCACACACACCCCCTGTTGCCGGGATGCGTGTGTGTTGTCCCATCCTCCCGCCTGCTCTGCTCGTTGTTGGGACTGGTTACAATGCGTAACTGTCGTTCCAATTTCCTCACAGCAGCAGGTGGGAGGCAGGGAGTGATGCGTTCAGCCATCCTGTTATCTGGTCTAATGCGGATGGCCGCGTATCTCAGTTTCCGTAGCGTAATGGATCAGACGCTCGCCTTTTATGCCGAAGGTACCTGGTTCGAGGCCAGGCGGAAACATTGACCTACATTTTGGTCTCTATCATGCATTGTGTGATTAGGGTACTGTGAGCTGGTGTGTTAATGCTTATGACCGCTGGGGGTCCAGTGGGCATTGACTACATCTGGCTTCGCCCTTATCCCAATAGCGACAGCTCTTAGAGGGCGAAGCCTATACGAAATAGAACGTTGGTTACGTATTGTAACCCCAGATTCTATGAGTATAGGCGTAGCCCTCTAAGCTGCGGGCCCGACTGGTCCCACCAGTGTCGGCTGAAGAAAAAAAGCTGACCTCTTGGGAGCAGATCTCTGGTCTCGCCGGTATTATATACCTAAATTGCGGACCTGAGAGAGGCCCGTGCACGGCACATGGGCGCGAAAGAAATCTTCAGGACTGCGCATGCGCGCGGGGATGAACCCAATAGCGACAGCTCTTAGAGGGCTACGCCTATACTCATAGAATCTGGGGTTACAATACGTAACCAACGTTTTAGGTGTTCATATTCGCTGTTTGTCTGGACGGCAGCATACGTTTTCTCTTACAAAACACTTAAAGTGTACTGATTTAGCAGTGCACTCAAAAAGGGGACAGAATCAGTGCAGCAGTCTTTTTATTGTTTTACACATTCTTTGGCCTTGTCAAAACCTGGCACCTTCATTACCCACAATGCAACTCAACCGCTTCGGTAGGAGATTTAGGTGTGTAATGCTATTAGCCACTAATGTAGCCTGTAGCCGCTAGCCTCAGACAGAGACGAGTAGTAGGCTTCAGAGATCTGGTAAACTCACATCTTTCTAACTCAACATGCCCAGATTTTTGTCATTTTTAAACTTAGGGTTTCTCTCCTCAACCAACGCTCAAGTGACAACACTTGAGGCAATGTATCAGCTTCAACATAGCTCCCTCTGGAGCCACTAAAAGGTACACATGATGCCGTAGTGCTCCCCAAGACCTGTAAATAAACTTCAATTTCTTAAATCAGTAGGCGTCTCTTTTTTAGTGCCAAAGTAATAGATAAACTCAAACAGCTGCCAGACTAAAAATTAAAACCTATTAATGACAAATACAATTGAATACAAGTATGTTAAATCAAGTTGGGTATTGTTGGACACAATTCATTTATACTAACATGGACATTGGCTTTGTGTTTTAAACATGTTAAAAAATTTTAGAATATCAAAGATCTTTGATCAGCAACAGTGAAGTCTGGGACAAAGAACAGCATATGAATTTTAAGACATGCTTGGTGAACTAATTGTACACCCAGTGTCAAAACTCTGTGGGTGTGGTGAAATGATCACAGTGCATACGTTTGTTTTTTAAGCACAATGTGAATCCCTGTTGGAAAAGACACTCCCATCAGAGCGGGGTGATAAACCGGACAGTCTTCTAGCAGCAGATATTCGCAGAAACAATGAGTTACAGTGTTGAAGTCAGGAGGGTTTTAGCACACAAACAACATTCCCCTGGTCAGATGATGTCTAATTGTAGATTTAAGTCAAAGATGAAAGTTGGTTTAACAGCTGAATTTATCTAACTGTCAAAATATAGAGCAATAACAAAAATAACAGCCAGGTTCCTGACATGTGGTCCGATGTATGTGGACTGACTAACCTAATGTTTTGGATGAATATGTTAGTATCTGTATAATCAGCAGGATTATATTGTGTCAGGGGGGTTCTGTACGTTATCACTCCCACAACTTTCTCAGTATTGCACACTGCCCGCAGATCACTGTGCTCTACATAAAGTAGATAACAGAAAGCAGTATTGAAATGTTCTGGACTAAAGTTACTGACTTGTGGTTTTCTGCAGGAAGTGGTCAAACTGCCGCTAGAGTTTGTGCGACAGCTGTCAATCAAAGTTCAACATCAAAGACCAGGTAAAATATATATATATTTTTAAAATCACTTCTGTGGGAAGCATCTGGTTGTGAAATCTGTTGAAGGAACACTTTGCGAAATACATTTATTGGCTTTCTTTGATCAGATACCACTCTCATGTCTGTACGGTAAATATGAAGCTACAGACAGCAGTTAGCTTAGCTCAGCACAAAGACTCTACACAGGTGGAAACAGCTAATCTGATCCTGTCGGAAGGTTACAAAATCTGCTTGAGAGCACCTCTAAAGCTCACTAATTAAAAATAGCATGGTCATCGCAGAGCAAAGAAAACCTGAGCTCACATATACATCTGGTGCCCATGTTACTGATGTTTTAATGACAAACAATCAATTGAGGAAATTATCAGCATATGAATGGATAATGAATATAATTACTAGTTGCCCTACTTGATATGTTCCTCTGGAGGCAATTTGATGGATGGAAGTTTACAATAAATGTAAATATAACCGTTCAAGTTCACATACACAGCGCACACATACTGAAAATCTTCTGTGTGTTAGCTTGGCGCTGCGATAAGGTGATGGACATCTACAGTGGCTGTGCTCTCTGTCTGCCAAATCTGACATCTCCAGCCCTCCACCAGCCAACACACACTCCTCCGCTCTGCATCGAGATCAAGGTAAACTGTTCTCTGTCCTGAGAAGCAGCCACGGCTGCAGAAGTCTTTTGCTTGTGAATCACTGTCACCCAGACCAACAGAGCTAAAACAACAAATCACATGAGTGTGAGTGAGTGTGTGTTTGTGTGTGTGTTACTCAGCTGATGTTTTTGTGTGGGTTGTGTTTTTAGCCTAAATGTGGCTTCCTGCCGTCCTCCAAACATGTCAGCAAAGACATCAAGACCAAAGTGTGCCGCTTCTGTATGCACCAACACTACAAGGTAACTACACCCGCACTATAGTGCGACCACAGAACATCTATAATACAACTACATCAGGGTCGATCCGGTTATACATTAATAAATTCTGGGGTTTTGTCCACCAGTGTGGGCATTTCACTGCATATGAAAGTAAAGAACTTGTGTGTGTGTGAATGTGAAACATCATTTGTCGCAGCAGTGTGAGCGGTTGGCTTGGCAAAGAGCACGGATTCCCTAAACTCCGACCCTAAAGAGTCTGTTGTCACTCTTCTTTCTCTCTCTCAAAAATCCAGGTAGCATTTCATTTCTTTAGCCGGCACTGACGGTTGCTTTTATAGTTTAACAAAGGCTATATCATATCAGTTGTCATTAATTAACTTCTCTCTGTAACTTCATGACAGAAACTAAACTTGGCAGGTTAAAATGTTCTCTGCAGCCGGTGTCTGTAAATGAGCAAAGATCAGATTCTAATTAATTAATTAAAAAATAAAAAAATATATATATATATATATATTTTTTTTTTACGAAAAAATACTCTCATGAGCTTCACACAACATACTGGAAACTCATGTACAGTGCAGAAATATTTTTATCAGCTTGAGGTTGAACTAATCCATGCTCGTTACATGTACTGCATTTAGCCAACGTGATACATAGCCGTTAGCTTGCCTTCAGCTTTTCAGTAACTATTTGTGTGTCTTTCACTGGAGGCTCAGCAATGATATGAATGAATATTATGAGATTGTCACACCGCAGTAAGTAATGTTACTGTAATGAATGGATCTTCCTCTGTGGTGTTGTCCTGCGCTGTTATGTTGCATGTATATTATGTGAACATGTGTAAACCGAAGCGATCTGATTCAGTATCAACAAATTCCCAACATTAAAAGACTTGGATTGAGATCAGGGCTAAAAAACTTGATTAGTACAACAAAACCTTTAGTACAACTACAAAACAATAAACACTTTGATGTTTCTGTTACCTCTCCTTCTTTCGCCCCCTCCAGGTGACCAATGGGATGTGGAAGAGACGCAGTCTGTACTGTCCTCTAGACCTCTTCTCAGGGTGAGATTACTGCACTTACTACTGTTACCATCAACACTACTGTATTTACAGTTTGTGGAAGTCACATGAAATGTTATACTGTAAAAATGTGTATAACAATAACACATAATACCAGAGACTGTATGGACAAAACATTAGAACACCTTTCAGTATAATGCAGTCCAGAACAAAAACATTACATCCTTTTCACAGAGGACGACTTGTCGGTTCAGCTACTGGTAATAAAGCTGCCTCACTGTCCTTCAGCTCATATTCTCTGGTTTCTCCCGTGTTGTTCAGGAACAGACAGAGAATGCATTTTGCCATCAGACACCTGATAGAAGAACCTCAGAACAACTTCAAAATCTTCAAGGTGAGACACAAACATACCTGCCTCTCACTCTCCCACACTGTGTGAACCTTTGTGTTTGTGTATATGACATCGGACTCCATCAGCAACACATTCAGTAAATACAACCACCGGTTTAAAGGACAAGTTCTGATCATGTGTACACCCTGTTTGTTGTGTACATAGAGGAACTGCTAGCAAGACTTTATTTCCTAACGTTACGCCAACACAACAAACTCCTCTTGCCAACTCTGACTCACGTTTCCACCGTCATCCTCCTGCAACAACTCTCATCTCACGAGACTTCAGAGTGAGAATTGTTATTGAGTGAGACTTCTGTTTCTGGTTAAAAACAACAAACATACACCAGTCAGACAACAGTCTGAGTCTGTCGGTGAAGAAGCACTTTTTGTGGATATAATTTTGAGGGTTTGTGGCTGCCGGCTGAAGCCATCTTCTGCACAGACATCAAAATATTTTTTACTTACTTGTCATTTCAACACCAAAATATGTGAAAAGAGGGTTTATAAGCACCAAAATTATCCTAAGTAAGTAAAATACGTTACCTAAGCTAACTTTTGGTGTTAGATTCACATGGGACACGAACAGCGGCCTTCTGGGTGAAAATTATGTGTTTGTTTGCCCCATCCCACTACCCCGAATAATCTGTGCGGTGATTTTGAGTTTTCTCTAAAAGACTGATTGATGGATCAAATCAAAAGCTCAATGAGGAAAGCCTGAGCACCTTTTGAGTCGAGGGATTAACAGAAATATTTGAGCAGGAAGTGACACATTGTGATGATTATTATAACGTGACGTGTAAAAGTTATAAATAGTATTTATATGACTGCTTAAAATGGCCTGACAGGAGACTAAACCAGACTTCATATCAGTTCGATCCTCTTTAACGAATTTGAACCAAAGCTCATCAGTACGAACTGTTTTTAAAATTACATTACATCTTTGTCAGTTGGGGAGGTTATATAATAACCTGGAGTAACGTGTGTGTGTGTGTGTGTGTGTGTGTGTGTGGTAGGGCGGTCAGTGTATTTACAGCAGTAAGGAGTGCAGTGACGACTCGTCTGACCTGAACTCTCTGCTGCATCATCTCAGACCGTACTTCATGTACGGAAACAACCGAATCAACAGTCACATGACCGGCAAAGCTGTTCTGAACGACTTCATCCAGGTGAGACACACGAATATACATGTATAGAAAAGTTTTATTTAAATGAAAGTAAAAATATTAGTGTGATGATGTTCCTATACCAACATCAAGAATCAAACGGGCCAAATTTGTCTCATGTCTCAGTGTCGGGGCAAAACAGTCAATTGGAGATGTGTGAAGAGAAACTCGCAGCAGTTGTCACAAAGTCTCATTTTAAAAACACAGGATTGAAGTTATTATATTTACAGGCTTTACTGACATTGACGAGTGTTTGACTGAACATTTTCATGTTAATGAAGTTATTTATATTTTAAGTTATTCTACAAATTAGGGTTGCAACAGTTTGACATGTTTATTGTATTACACAATTATCAGTTACAGTAACAGTGACTGAATGAAAACAAACGCTTTATTATAATTCCACAAAATAATGTCCTGATAGCACTTGAAACCTTTTTTAATGGGAGTGTAAAACTCCTCCCACGCAGGCGAGATTCTCACATTTTTTAGATAAGCAAATGCACATGGTATATCGCCACCACCCAGTTATTGATACTGATCGTGAAGGCTTAACTGGGAGTTTGTGGTTCCTAAAACTGATGAGAACAAAAGCGCACGAGAATAAGGATGTTTAACTAATCAGATACCGGCTGCAGAGAGAATGTTTACCAGCAGTCATTTGAATCTATTTGTTTAGCAAAATATCTCTCTCTGTCTGTAGGTCCTGGTGAATGCCCTGCTGAGTGGTGGAGGAGGCGATGGAGGGGTGGTGACAGACAGACGAGGAGAAGGGCGGAGCTTCTGTGAAGCGAGTCTGTTCAACAAGGAGAGGATTCGTCACGGTCAGAACCTGCCTGTCTACCCACTTCCTGCTTCTATTCTGTTCTTTCCAGACAGGTTTTAGTGATTCTACTGAAATGATCTGGGAGCTCACTATGTTCAGTTTACTTAAAGAGGTCATTATGCTCATTTTCAGGTTCATTATTTTATTTAGTGGTTGTACCTGAACAGGTTTACATGTTTTCATTTTCAAAAAACACCATATCTTTGTTAGGAGTTGCACATGCGCAGTTCCTAGTTAAGGAGTACTAGCCAATCAGAAGCAGAGTAGGGCAGGCCCCGAGAAGCCGGTAAACATGGCTTTGGTTCAGCTGTTAATGTTCCCCTTACCAACTTAGCAACATGGACTGGAGCAAGAGTTTCAGAGTGGTGAGTTATTAATTTGTAAAAAAAGTATCTTTCATCCATAAAGTTTTAACTCTGTCTCTACGTCACAGTAACAACTTTATGTCCATTGACTGCCTGGTTAGTAGCTAGTGTTTGGAAGGGAGAGGAGAGGCAGCAGGCGGACGTCTTGTCACGGTGTTCTGCAGTGTAAGAATGTTTTTCCACCAGTGTTATTGAAGGCGTGTGTGCCTAGCTGCTAGGCGAGCATGACGATGCATGTTTTTTGTGACGTCGTCATAAAGTGGAAGAAAGGGCTGGACTACAAACTATCTGTTTTCAGGCAGTTCAGAGTAGAGTTTTTTGTGGGAGATGGGAACTCCCTTTGGGTTGGACTTTGGGCTTTTTAACTTTGCAAACCTATTACATGCACAAAAAACATATATAACTCAATCAGGCATGTGATTGGCAAAGGACAAAAAAGCAGGAAAAGATAGAGAGTGTGTGTGTGTGTGTGTGCGTGCGTGCGTGTGTGCGTGTGCGTGCGTATATGTGTGTGTATATATGTGTGTATATACACACACTGTGTATATATATATACACCCAACTTCAACAGCTTAATGGGCAACATGAAATAATTGAGTCCATAACTACTAACTTTAAAATTAGTTCAGTTGAAGTTAATAGATTATTTTTATGAATAAGAGACAGCAGCAAAGGTTGTTGCCTGTAGAAGACCTGGTGGCCTAACTGTTAAAGAAACAGTTATATTATTTAGGAAACTCAGATCAAACAGCCAGATCAGTCTGTCTATTGATAAACTGTAGGAAAAAGTTCAAGACACTTCAACTCTGATAGAGGACGGGTGTGTGTGAGACGGGAACGACCGCAACAGTTTCACGGGATCGCGGCCAGTAGTACACAGAAGCCGTTGCCATGCTTACCACCCATCAACCCCCCAAGTAGGCTACTGTTTTTCTACACATGTATTTAGGCTATAGGAGCAATATTCAGTGATTTTATAAAACACCACTCTCTCCCCATGAGTCCAAGCATCACTAGTGGCTGTGCTGCATCTAGAATTGTTCGCTTTCTGGTCGCACAAAGTTTCCAACTGGCAATGTTCTTTGCATCTTAGACTGTGACACAATAATGGCAGTAGCTACTTACAGCTATGGAAAGAACGCCTCTCTTCCTCGTTCTCCATTCTTCATTTAGCTTTTTGGCTAACAGCTGACTTAAACAACATAAGGTCCGGTGCCCTGACCTGCAACAGGTCATTCACATCAGGAATGGTGCGTTCAGTAGCTCCTGTTATCCTTATTTGAGTTGAAACAATTAATTGAAAGTGAATCTTCAACTGTTTTGAAATTGTATTAATCGCTTTCTACATTGTGATTATTTGCTGGTGTCCTTGTAAACTGAAAATTTTCTATTTTGGACTGTTGGTTGAAACGATGTCACCTTGGACTCTGGGAATCTTTGATGGACACTTTTTATAGACAGAACAACAAGTTGAGAAAGTAATCAGCAGATTCATCTATAATGAAAATAACAGTTAGTTGCAGCCTTGTAATCGAGCATCTAGAGGTTTTGTGTTCGTGTAGTTTCCTCTCTCTCTCCGTTCACCCAGACACACTCAATAAATTCAACAAAAACTATTAAACATTAAAAAACAATATACCTCACTTTGGTTTCAACCTATCTTCAACCCTCCCCGCCCACACATACACACACGCACGCCACAACATTTTTGATTTAGACTCAAGTCTTTAAATAATAATAAAACAGACAATGAGAAGCAGAAGTCTCGGAGTTGCTGTGGTGTGTTATACGCGTGGTCAGTATATAACGCTTTCACACTGTTGTCAAGTTTTTTCTGGTGTGAATTCTGAAACTGTAACTCCAGTCCAGTCTAATAGATCTGTCTGCAGCCTGTTTCCTGTCTGACAAAGGTTTGTCTTGTGCAGCAGCGTCCTTCAGTAATGTTTGTGGTTTGAAAGAAGCACTCGTGTCTTCTCAACACACGTTTTGCTCGTAACATCTGAATCTCATGATGTAAAATGAGTGAAACTGAAAACCTCACTAATCTTTGTGCGTTAAATATTCTTCCCTATTTCAACATTTAAAGTAAATGTTTTATATTAAGTTCTTGTTTGAAAACATAAATGCTGACCTCCCTCCTCTCTGTCTGTGTGCAGGCTCTCAGGGTTTACCCAGCGACAGTGTTTTGTTCAGGATTCTTCAGACTCAGATGTTGGACACGCTGGACATTGAAGGACTTAATCCTCTGTACCGCCGAGTGGAGCAACACCTGCAGGACTTCCCCAAGGAGAGGTAATACACAGTTAACAAGTACCATCACTTGTGAAAGGGCACTGTCTTGTCTCAGTTGTCACTTCCTGTCTAACTCCCCTCTGGACACACAAGGTCCAGGCATTTATTAGCATTACATATAGAGAATAACCATTAGACAAATATCTCACAAAACACATTTACATTACATTAACTCACCTGGCAGACGCTTTCATTCGAAGGGACTAACATTTGAGGAACAACATACAAGCAAGAGATCTACAACTGACAATACACACTAGTAAGAGCAGCAATTAATACTAGTAAGAGCTAATAGCAAATATGGCATCAATGGAGTAAATACCAAGGGAAAGTTAAAATTATATGTTAAAGTTAGTTAATGAAATAGTGCAGTCAATAAATGAATTAAAAGGAGATAGAAGAGCACAGGAAGTGCATGTTAGAGGTGTTTATAATACAAAGTGTTCTCAGAAGAGATGAGTTTTCAAGAGCTTCTTGAAGTTAGAGAGGGACGCCCCTGCTCTGATGACATGTGGTAGCTCGTTCCACCATCATGGTGTCACAGATGAGAACAGCCGGGACTGAGATTGCTTTGTGTGAAGGGATGGCAGAGCCAGACGGCGTTCGTTGGAGGAGCGCAGTGGCCGGGAATTAATGTAAGCTTGTATTATGGAGTTTAGGTAGATGGGTGCAGACCCACTAGTCACTCTGTATGCAAGCATTAGTGACTTGAATTTGATTCAGGAGGCCACGGGGAGCCAGTCACTGAGTAATGGAGTGACATGAGTCCTTGGCTGATCAAAAACCAGATGAGCTACTGCATTCAGAACCATTTGTAGGGGTTTCACCGCACAAGCTGGAATACCTGATAGGAGGGCATTGCAATAGTTGAGGCAAGAGGTAACCATGGCCAGAAGCTGGTACAGGCCATAGTTGTACACAAAAAATAACTTTGCAGGCTATAAGCTGTTAAACTTGCAGATAACGAGGTATGTGAACGTAAATTAGCTGTAGCTAGCTCATCCAATAACTATAAAACCGTACAAATAACTTATAATTAATAGCATGTCATTGGCTGTGTTAACTCAAGGGGAGTAAGAATGAATAAATCTTCATGAGCATTGTACTCTCTCAAACCGGGCAGGTGTTCTGCCTCAGATGGTAATGGACTGCCACTAAAAATGAACCAACGCCACTGTGACACAAGAATATTGGTTCTGCTATGAAGCACTATATAGGTCCTTTAAGACATTTTGTTCTTAATTATATGCAGATTAACAAACATTATTTTTAAACCTAAGTTGTTCTCATATTAAATCTAAATTATTAAATGAACTTAAACTGTATAACTGACTGACGACCTGTCTATCTGTGTCAGAACTCGTCTCCAGATAGACGGACCGTACAACGAGGCCTTCCTGGAAAAGCTGCAGAAATGTCCGACTGAGGACGACGGCTCTGTGGAGTACGCTGTCGCCAAGGTAAGTCCAGTTTCAAATGTTCCTAAATTACACAGTCTCATAGAGAGCTGGGAATTCACATCAGGTTCTCCGTGTGATGGTCTAGATTTCCTGCGATGACATTTCTCCCAGTGTCAGCTGTCTCTCTGCTCAGGTGTTCAGCTGCCTAAAGAAGGCAACATGTCTTAACTGCTGTGTGTTTTGACTTCAGGTCCATCAGTACCGCGCCGCCATGACAACCAAGGACTGCTCCATCATGGTCGCCCTGGTGCCCAGCAGTGAGGAGGAGGAAGAGGATGGTGAAGGGTAAGAGATCCAAAAAGAGTCTCGTTATCTGAACTAAATGATGTTGGGTCATTGTTCAGTTAGGGCTGGTCAGAAATGTTACCACGATAAAAAATTTCATATCATTTGATAGATTATCAGGATAAACATCAAATCTTTATTTCTTTATATATAAGTTTAAAGGCTGATTTTCGCTCCTGAGTGAAAACTGAAGAAACCAGATTGTGGTTTTAAACTCTTCATGATCAGAACAAACACTTGATGCCAAACAGTGGATCACTTCACAAATCTGAGGTAGAACATTCAAAACTATAATAAAATCTTTCTTCAACAAATATGCATGAGTAAAATTAAGTAAAATCATTTTTCACTCCTTTTCAAAACAAAATACATTTAAATAAAACAATTAAGTGTTAATTTGTTTGTGATTCAAATTAAATCAAACATTTATTGAACATTTGTTATATTATTGAGAATAATTATATTGCGGTAATTATCATTATTGTTTGATTGCCCAGCCCAACTTTCAGTCTTTGAACAGATCCCCACCGATGACCTCAGCTCACTTAAAGGTCTCCTGTGAAATTTTCTGTAAACAAATAAAGTTTTGTTTTAAATTCAGTGTTTCTCTCCAAAACACACTGTGGCCCAATCCCAATGTCCCCCCTAAGCCCTGAACCCTCACAGACTTTACTGACATCACTTGGAAAGTGATTGAGTTTAAGAGGCTGCAAGGACTCAAAATGCTGTAAACAGGAACGGGACAGGAAAGGGCTCAAAATGTCCACGAGAGAGCCCTTGCGCACTTGAGGATTTGACTGTGGGACAGCCCTAAAGCTTGATTTATACTCATACGTAGGGTGTACGTGCATAGCCACGTACGTCGCCAGGCATTTATACTTGTGCGTCCGTGTCCGTCAATCTGCAATTACACCCCCAAACGCTGGTCGGCGGTACCACTACAGCGTCCACTGTGTTTACTTTTGCCGACCGAGCAGGCTAACTTACGGTTCAGCGCTCTGCTAACATGAATGGGGGTAAAACTGTATACATGCAGCTATTATAGACTTTTAAAATGTTAACGACCGAGTGGATCACATTCTGATAGTGAAACGAGTCATTTCGCTCGGGTTGTGACGGTCAAATATATTGATCCACCGTGTTACAGCTGCTGTTTTGGCCACTAGTAAAAGTTACTTCAAAGCACGGGCACTTCCTGTCGGCTCGGAGGCATTGCAAGGCTACCCAGCCGACCAATCAGAGCTTACGGTCCGCGTCGACTCAACATGTAGTTACATTTTTGAGGAGGAGCACGTCAGGCTACGCCGTAAGTGACGGCGTAGGGTAGGGGCTACGTATAAATTGCACTTAAGCCCTCATGGACTTCCCAGGAATGCGGCTCAAAGTCTGTGAGTCTGTGAGGGTGGACATTGGGATTGGGCCTGTGTTCATCTATGAAGCCTAATAAACCTGTTAAACACATTTTGCAAAGCTGTTTTTTTGGAAGAATTTGAAACCTGATTTGTTTACATCCATGTTGGCAACAGTCTTCTTCGTTCACTCCAACTGTGCTGCACTAAACTGCTCTAAACACACTGTTTATTATATTGTTCATAATAACACATCAAAGTTGTATGGAGACATTTACCTTTAACCTACTACAGTGTTTTCCAGCTGTCCATTGTGTCGTTTGGTATCTTGAAACTGGTCCCTGATCACGACTGAGATTTACAGTCGATTTAATTAATTTTGATGTATCATAGAAATACCAAAACATACTCTGGTTGAAGCTTTTCTCTGTTTTATATTATTGCAAACTGAATAGTTTCGGGTTATGGACTGTTGTCATATTTGTCACTTTATAAAGTAAACCATTAATTGATATTGAAAATGATTGATTGTAAATGTGTCATCCATTTGAGGATGAGGACTTACTGTTTACCTTAGAAATAACTGACTCTACGAATTGGGGTAACTGAACGTACGTTCATTTTGATCCCAAATCAATAACTGCTTTTGTTTTTTAAAGGAGACCTATTATGCTTTTTCACATTTTATGACTAATCTACAATGTTAAAATGTCAGATGTTCATATTAAACATGGCCAAAACAAATATTGAGGTTAAAGTATTTTAAAAGAAATCCCACTGAGCAAAAACCTCAGATTTCCTCCTCTTCTGAACTTCTTTTTCTACCAAGGCTCCTTGCTGTGACACCAGACAGAGCTGGTGTTCCATATGCTCCACCCAGCAACAACTGCAACCTGGCGCGAGTTCAATCTCAAAACGTTTTGCAACGTTTTCAGATTGAACGGCATGTTTCGTTGAAACGTTGCGCAACGGGCTTCGGGGTATGTTTTCTCCCGTTTGGTGGGCGTGTCTCATGTGTTACCCAATCAACTGCAACAAGTTTGTAAACACAACGCCGTTAAAAAGCCAGGAAAATGCAGTGCGCTTGCCTACACAACAGGGTGTTCAGGGGACCACCGTTTCCATTGAAAAAAAAACGTTTTGCTATGTTTTGTCTGCGCTGAACTCTCCCCTGGTAACATGCTTCAGCCCTTGGCCAATCAGAAGACAGTGGGCTTTGATGAGAGACAGGAGCATCTAAAGCTTGTTTCAGACAGGCTGAAATGAAGGGACAGTATAAGACAGAATTATTTTTTTGAACTTTGAATCATGTAAAGCTGCCATACAGGAGTCAAAGAACTACAATATAGGACTGGACAAGTACTATAATAGGTCTCCTTTAATCAATCAGTGTGTAGTGCCTGATAAAGTCCACCAGGTGGAGCCAAACATCAGCTCTGTATGTTGAAACTGAAACATTCTTCCTGTTCATTAATACTCCTCCTCTCCTCCAGTCAGCGGCGGCTCCGGGACTTTGTGCCATCCAGACCTCCTGCTTTCTCTTACTCTGTCTCCATCCTGGATCTGGACCCGAAACCGTTCGACAGCATCCCCCGCCAGCTGCGCCTGGACCAGAAGATCGTCTCCTGCTACCTGAGGACTGGTGGTGCCTTGCCAAAGGGCTCTCTGCCGCCGCTCTCCGGCATCTTCACAGCTGCTGAGAGGGAGGACTGCACGCTGCTCTTCCACCCTGTGTAAACGCCCAATAAGAGTCGGACAACCCTGAAGACAAAGACTGACGCCATGTTGATGCAGAGGTGTAAAATCACTTCAGAGTGGAGCTGTGTATCCGAGGCTTTACTGCAGCACTTCCTTTTCACTCCGCTCATGCTGACAGTTAACCGCTCGTACAGCAAAACTAAAATTTCCAGCAAGTCACCACTAGATCACCAGACGTTTAAGCAACTTCAGATACTTCTGATACCGATTCTTGATGTGTTGGTGTGGCGACAGACTTCTCGCTCCCGTCAGGAGGGGAATCCCAATGTCACCGTTCTGTCCTGACATGAATAATATTTATTAGGAACCTCGCAGGGAGGCTTTTCCGGTGAAGAGAGTTTGGATTAACGGCCTGACAGGACTCTTATGGTTCAAGCTCTGAGAGAAAGAATGAAAGAAAGGAGAACGGAAGTGTTTGAGAGAAAAGCAGGTGGTTGAGTTTTGACATATGCATGATGTCATTTCCTGAATGTAGGCGGGGCCTCTAGTAGAGTTGGGGCTGAGGCGGAGCCAATATGTACGTGCAGGTTGAACTGAGGAGGGGTGAAGCCAACATGGCTGATCCGATCACCAGACGGTCTGTACGAGTCTCGACAAATAGAGACGTTGACGTTTGTCGTACCCATAATCCTTTGCAGAAATTTGAGCCTCCGGTCTCTGCTGGACTCCATGAGGTTTTCAGTCCAGCTCATCACACTGACCGACTCATAACTGTTTAATTAATGAGACGAGGTGAAGCAGTGTTTGGTTATATTGAAAACTATCATGAACCAGGTGGAGAACCTGAACTGTGACAGCGAGTGAGGCTTCACCTCCCTGTCCCTTTTTTGTTTTTGATTCCTCAGTTGGTGGCCGGATGTTAATGCGTTCACTCATGAGGCATCTGTGCCGAGACGTAGGCCGGGTGTTTGTGTCTCTTTCAGGGAGAACAGCGGAGTGTAGTAAATTTGTTTCTCTTCCTTCAAGTGAAATATGTCCAGTTTTTGAGGTACATGTGAGATTTCTGCCTCTACTCACTGATGTCTTCAGTGCTCACACAAGAAAAGAAAGTAGAATGCTGTTTTTGATGAGATGTTTCTGTTTTCAGTCCCAGCACAAACTAAATTCCACTCACCTCCATTGTATCGGGGGGAGGCGGAAATCTCAGATGTCTCAAAACCTGGACAGATATAATGCAATCCAGTACAACAGCTAGTTAAAAATTCCACTTTTGCTAAATGTTTATTTTCTGACACAGAGGTGTTATATTATACTTAAAAGGTGTTTCTAATGTTTCGTCCACCCCATCTACATACACATACACAAGGGGGACGTCAGGACACCACCACCAATTGAGACCTCAGTAATTAGCATATAGTTGAAATAACTTGTCACCAAAAAAAATTTTACATTATGACATGTGGCTGAACTGTTGGGTTGTATTAGCTTATACAGTTACACCTAGTACTGAGTGTGTATATATTTTATTTGGGTTAACTGACCCCTTCAAGGTCCAGCTGCGGCCTCTGACCGAGCAGCAAAGACGTGTGTGTCCAGCTGGCCTTTCCTGACATGAAAACCTTTTTGTGTGGAAAAACACACAATATTTTAACTCTTTATTGTTCTCAGAACAAGATTCAGCCCGTTTTGTTGTGAGAAAAGCCGCATTGCAGTAATTGTCTAACATTCTCGTTGACTAACCTGGTGATACGTGTAAAAGGTCCTGCGAATATTTGCTCCGTCTCCCAAACCTTGAAGTCATTCTTATTTGATGCGGACTCACAGGTCAAAGTTCAGGCGAAGTCAATGCGTCATCACGCTGCCAGACTTCATAATCATAAGACTAATGTGACCATACACATGCAGAGCAGGAAGCGGAGGCAGAGCACAGGACTGTAAAGTGAAGGAGGAGGCGTTATAATGAGATGACTGACACAGAACAGGGACACTGTTTGTCTCCTCACCAGAGGTCAGCGTGTCCTGTCTGCCGTAGATCCGTCTGACCCACCACAGCAAGGGCTGCTGGGTAACACAGCAGTCCTCTTCAGATCGGCCGAGCTGCTTCATGCTGCTGTTTTTTGTGTGTGTGCGCCATAAGTGGCTTGTAGTGTGTTTTTGGTGTGTGTGTGTGTCCATGTGCCTAAATGTTCTGGTGGGAGTGGAGGAGGTTGTGTGTGATGTGTGTTGAAAACTAACTTTGTTACAGGCTTCGTTCACAGCTGAGATCTGAGACAGATCCGCTTCGGTTCGTCTCTGTTCAGACTGACATCAGATATAACTTTAGGAGCTGATGTGGACGCAACCGTGAACTCTCAGTACCTCGAACTCCCGTCGACCCAAGCTGAAGCTCAACAGGGTCGTCTGATGTTTGAAAAGTGATGTGTTCAGGAGCGCTGGCAGATTTCTGAGGACGGTGAGACTCTGTCTTTGCAACCGTCAGCAGACAAGTGTTGACTGCATTTTCAAGACTCGAGTCCGCTCAAGTCCAGATGTTGTTTGTGTTCAAACTATCGGATCTTGTCGTCGTTGGGTACAAACTCCTGGTGATCTCATTGTCCTCTTTAAACCAGCAGCGCTCACGGAGCCTTCAGATAATAAAAAAAAACTGGTAACACTTGACTTCAGTTGCTCTGTTTACAGTGTCCACTCTCCAAACCTCCACCAGCCAATCAAATGACTGAAATCAAATACACACTACAACACTGAACACATTGCTCTGATCTCCAATCATCTGGCCTGTTTTCTTGAAACCCGTCAGCTGATGATAAACGGCACCACTGTGACACACGAGCCGAGTCCACTCAATCGGCCGCAGGGTGGTGTGGTCAGTTGTTCTGTTAAATCCAAACACTAAAAATGATTTCAGCCCATCAATCAGACGACCAGCTCTCTCTAACGCTTGTCCTGTCACCACCTTTCTGACTGACATGTAAGTTGGCCTCCCTCGATGCCTGGTGGGCTGGAGAGTGGACAGCAGTGAACTGAACCAACCACTGATTGTTCTAACTGTTGAACTGAAGACGCAACAGGCAGCATGACGGGAGCGCAGAGGCTCAGAGGAGGTGGAGGGTGGGGTGTCTCTCTGCAGTTGTAGCATCGTCTTCGAGTGAGACGTTCGAAGATTTGATGTTACCGTGACTTTGGTTTGATTTAATTTTGAAACTTCTAAACTGTGTTTACAACCGTTAAAACTTTGCACCAGATCACAAATGTTGCAGCTACATCTGAACAGAAGGTTACTACTTTGATTGTGGTTTTAATAATCTTGTCAGTGTAATCTTGAGAAACGGAGCTAATGGCGTGTTTATGGTTTGGGAGGGTTCACTTTATCAGACAGCTCACGACTGTTGCGTGAGGGTTAAAAATACGGTGCATTAACGAACGACTAACTTTGGCTGACGTGACACCTCCATCTTTATTTGCTTTTTCAGGTACGTCTGATGTATTTAGATGAATATTTTGGAGCTTTGAGAAAAATATAAGGTCAAATAACCCGAGGTACATTCACATCCATAAACTCTTTCCAGGTGCAGAAAATTACCTCTTTTCCAACGTGAAGTTTTCGACCACAAAAGTTCCTTTAGATTGAAATTTTGCCATGTCCATGTAAATTAAAAAGAACAGGAGCGAGAAAGCACTTTGCAGGCTCTGTCTTTGTTTTTAAAGTGTGGTAACTTCATCTGAAAAATTAAATCCGACACAGCAGATATTTCCACTTGAAAGAATTTTCTGTTGTGCTGGATATAAAAAAAGAGAAGTTATTATGAATGTTAATGTAAAATAACAATACTGACAAATGTGATAAAATTCATATTTTGTTGAGCTGTTCGTGTAGAGCTTGTGAAAACAGTAGTTGACTGTCTCATCTCAAGGTCCACTTGTTTGTTGTTATATTAAGTTAGTTTTCAAACTTAAAATTCATAATAGAGGAGAAGTCCTGGAGGCGCTCAGAATCATGGGAAGTTTGAGCATCTACATTTCCATTGAGATAGTTTTGTCTGTTTACAATTTTGGGTCACGTCATATAAATTGCATAAAGACGTGTTATTTATAGCTACCATCTTTGAGTGGTTTTGAAAACAAAGGTTTAAAAATCTTAATTTTTTGTTCGGTCAAGGATTTAATGCATCGATAGACAAACTGGGGTTAAAAAAAAAAAAAAACGTACAAGATTATGTTTAAGATTACCGAACAGCTGATTTGTGATCTCGAGAACACAAACTACGTTTAGATGAAGCTGCAACAGGTGAGCTGGAGTCTGATTGGTCGGTTGCCTCTGCCTCCGCCTGCTGCCTGAGCGTCAACATGCAGAAACATCACAGCACTGTGATATCTACAGACGTCTAATAACTGCGTGTCTGTAAATAGCTGGGTAAAGTAAACTATTTGAAAATACAAAGGCGACACTGCTGTCTGGCATTTTGTATTTAAATTATTTATTTTTGTAGATTTTGACCAGCGAGCTCTGCTGTTACAGCCGTCACAGTCGAGCTCTTTCTATTGAATAAAGATTTCTAAGAGACTATAAACTGTGTTTACTTTATTTATACGTTAGCTCAGTTTTGACATGTTAAAATATAAAAAGGTTTAATGAAGAATGTTTCAGACAGATATGCTTTACATTTTACCCTGTAGTTCTGCACAGAGATTAGAGTTGTGTGTGCTGTGAAAGGCTGACCGCCCTGATGACAGACTCCATGGCGGCTTCAGGTCCCAGAATCCTCAGCAGGCTCTGAAAGGCCTCAGCAGCGCCGCCTACAGCCTGAGAGGGAAACAACTGCAGCACTGCAAAGAGACAAAACACTGAACATCATCTCACCGGAGGGCTGTTTTGCAGAATTTAGAAATCCAGGATAACAGAAAAAGCTATGCTTGACTTAATGTGATAAGTGCACCTGGCTTCATTAGTTTCACAAAGGCCAAACCAGGCTCAGTAGGAGTGACTATGTCAAGCCAGGTGTAAGTAATTCATAAATGTGCGTCAACAGCTTTCTTCAAGAGACCACGCGGTCGATCAGATTTATTGATGCTGAAATGGGAAAGATGTGTGCATCATACTTTACACACAGTGAATAACAACAAATAAAGAAGGTTTAAGATGAAAAATGCATATAATATTAAAAAATAAAATAAAAACATGGCAGCAGTATTAAAACAGCGAGAAAAAGCGTATAGAGGACCGACTGAATAAGTAAGTAGCTAAAAATATCACTGCTTTTAACTGAAACTGTCATAATTATAACATTCTTGGAAACATTATGTCATACCTTAAAAGTGAGAAGTGGACTTTAATATATGTCACTCAGCAAATGTATTAATTATAACCACTAATCTCAACATACTATTTATTTAATTCAATTTTAGTAATTACAATTAAGTAAGTAATTAATTATATAGAAAAAGTAATTCTGTGTTGAAAATGGTGGGGTCATAAGGGCTTATTAGGGGTGTGCACAATTCTGTGAGAACAAGACGAGAAAAATATTTTAAGTTATATTCAATGGTGAAATATCTGAGTGGGGAGTCTGAGGGTCTTCCCCTAGATGTTTTTGAGCATTAAACACTTAATTTCCTGACTTCAAGAGAAATGTTCTGCACCAATTTATGGTGGACATGTCCATATTGCCAAAATGTATTTTCATGCAGGCTAATATGCAAAACACATACATGAGAACATGGAATAAATGAAACAAACACTTTGGTTTCTGATCAGCGTAACTGCTGACTCGACAGATAAGGCACCAGGATCAACTAAGCCTGGAGCAGGCTAGCTGCACAGAATAAATCAGCATGGTAATTTATGTGCTACTGCTTTCATGAAACCGAGTCACGGCTTAATTCAGCCAGGATATCTGGAAAATCCCGGCTTAATCCGCTATCTTGGTTTTATGAAACAGCCCTCAGGGTGATTAAGAACAGCTGAGTATAGTTGTGCAGAGCTGCTACAGACAGTTTGACTTGTGATGAATTCCTAGAATAAATGTGTTTTATAGGTCTGCAATTTCCTAATGGATAACTAATTTGCACTTATTAGATAGAAAATACAGACATGATCAATTTGGGCACTTCTTCCAATCAATAAATTCCAAAGAATTTAAACTATTTAGATTATTTTAGTAGTTTGTTAAGCAAAAAAAAGCAAACTATTTTCTAATTCTAGATTCTCAAATATGAGGATTCTCTACTTGGTGATCCTTAAAGATTCAGTGTGTAGGTTTAGTGACATCTACTGGTGAGGGTTACGAATTGCAACCATGTGGTCAGCCATCGCTCACCCCTCCCCCGACATAACATGACGACGTTCCTGTAAAGGGACCCTGAATACACTATGTATATCATATTGCATTCTGTCAATAGATCCTCCTAAATATTACACACTGAACCTTAAAGTGAAAATCAAGTAAAACGCCTCGGGCTGTAGGAAATAGGGACTGGCCTTTTTTTCTGGCATTCTATAGACAAACAAACTAATTATTTCAATTGCTAATTTCTATATAATGTGTGTTTTTCTAGTTTTATACATTTTTTTAGTTGCAGAACCTCTGACTTGATTGTGTCCCACTTGTTGAACCAAACCTACATCACAGTAAACAGCCTGTGTGTCAGGCTGTTTACTGTGAGTCAGTAAAAACATGCAGTGGTGCTGTTAGTGTGTCTATTGAGCTTCCTGTCTGGTGAGTTCAGGTACAATGCAGGAGTTTGACATCTCACCTTTCTCAGGGATCTTTGTCAGCATGTCAATCTTTTGAGTGACTCCGCCCTCTCTGGAAACATCAACCGACCAATGAATGAACAAAACGCAGCTACAAACAAAAACACACATACACAGTCAGAGGTCAGCAGAGGTGACTTTACAGAGACCGTGTTACTGAGCTCCTTCTGTGAGTTTAATTACCCAGGAAGCTCGGGATGATTCAGGGACATGACGTCTGACATGCAGCCTCCAGAAAGAGAGACGACAGACGGATACTTCTCCTGCAGAGAGACAAACAGTGAAGAGAGACTCGCTCAGGATCATGACTTTAGAAATGTTTTCTCGTTCATGTCTCGAAAGTTAGTTTGAGCGTGCTCGGTGTGGCTGTGCTGCAGAGATATAGAGAAATAATCGCTATATATTTTTTTTTCCTTTACCATATTGTGCAGCCCTAAAACTCACTTTGTTTGTCTTAGATTATCTTCAGATGAACATTTGCCATCTGTCTTCATGAAATGTTATCTACAAAAAATTATATTCAATTTTACAGATTTTTCATGTCAGGTTTCTGACTTTTTAAACAAAAAACCCCTGAATTGTTTGTGATTTTATTTTAGTTCTGGACAAATTTCCGGGTAAGTGTTCTTTCTTGGCCTGTGGTACTGACAGAAACTGTTGTCCATTACTGTGGTTTCCCACCATATTTAAAGGTAAGTCAGTTGGCCTGCGGGGGGCGCTACAACATCTGTTTAGAAACCTGAACACTGGACCTCATTCATCAAACTAAATACACAAGTTTGTAAATGAAGACAACATTAATCTGATATAACGAGGAGTTAATATTTCCAGTGTTCTGCTTCAGTTCCAGTGAAAACTCTCCTCTTTGTTTTTCATCATGAAAACTAGAGCGAACATTTTTAAACTTTATGACCCGCGACAACGTTTGGAAGAAAATGATTAATCTGTGTTCAGGGACGTTTAGTTTACTAACTTTACAAAACAGAATCTGGTGAAATCTTATTTATTTTACAGCCTCGACTCGCCAAGAAGATGCCCAGACGCACACACTTTGTATTTCTATACTTGTGAGGAGGACCTTGGTGACATTAGGCCTATGCATTCCCATTCGCCCCAAATCCAACCTGAACCTTAAAACTAAGGTCCGCATCAAGGTCCGAACGAAAGTTCATGTTTTGATACATTAGATTTGGTTTCACACTGCAATTCTGCGACCGCACTAAAGGACTTTACATGACGCACTTGCGTCCTGTCGTCATCATCTATGTGGACTGCGTCTCCCTATACTTGACATTGATAGGTTTATTAAAACAGTTCAGCGGGTATCTTTCACAAAAATTAATTAAAAATGAACAGATGCATATTTGACACTATATTGTTATTATGGCATTACTACCTACAGCACCAGCTATAGGCTACTTCACAATTAAACGTCCTCATTATGCGAACACAACGTCGCCAGAAGACTGCAAACAAACCAGGGAGATTTATAATTGTGTCCTTATTTCAATGCATTACTCTGTGCATTTGTTTGTTTCCGGTTTACACGTCAACCGCCAAACTTCCTGTAAATAGTCTGAAAGTCCGAACTATCCAAAAAATGCTTCCACACCAGAAACGAACCGAACCATGGTTCAGTTTGATCCGGACCAAGACTACCTCTTTTTTTCGTCTGACCAAATTTCGTCTGTTTGGTCCGGATCGTGGTCCGTGGGAGGTTTCACACCTGCAATTTTGGTTCGGACCAAGCTGAAAAGTCCAAAAGTCCGGACCAAACCAGGTAGGTGTGAAAGCCCTAGTCTAGTCTTAACCTTTCTGGCAGTCTGACCCCTTTTAGAGGTTGAACTGTCCCCGATTGTCCAATCTAATGAATGGAGAGACGGGCCCTCAGTTTTGCTGACGGGAGTTTACAGTTGCTTGGATTGTCCGGAGAGTAGACTGCAACAAAGTGTCCCTGACTCATCCTAAAATAAGCCTTATTAAACAGACCATCATTAAGACGAAGCTCCTGGACCAACTGGTAGGCTACTACCAGCGGTGTGTCCTCTTTCTGAGGATCTCATGTGCCCACACAGATCTCCCTTTCAAATCAGCTTTATTGGCATGATAGTTTTCCAAAGCTACATATAAATTACGTAAGAACAATTAATTTCATTTCCCTGTCTCATGCGTGTTTGTTCACCTCTCACACTCAAAACAATGCCAGAGCAGGGGCTCTCCCTTTGTCTATTTTTTTTATCTTTTTTAAGGCAGATGTTTTTAACAACTAAAGACACAGACCTGTGAGTTGTGATCAAGTTTCTGCTAATATGACGGTTATTACTTAGCTGCAAAGCAAAGATTACAGATCGCTGGCGCTATAATCTTTGATTAGACTGACAGGACAGCTGGTTGCCACATTAAAAAACCGCAGCGCGCTGGTCTTTTCTAAATTCAACCAAAAAAAGTCATTGCTGTCTGATCGGGGCCTGATTCTTCTTTGGCGTTTTATAGCGGTTGGCATCACCGCCACCTACTGGATTAAACAGTGCAAAAATATTTACAGTGTCCACCCAAAGTGATTTCATTCACAACTATAGTCCGTCTAGTTTTTTTAAATTTCATTTTTGTGTCTATAGTAGCATTCTCGCAACCCCCAGGTTAAGAACCACTGATCTAAACACTCGAACAGCCCTTTGAAGGTCTGTCCCAAAGTGAGGACAGGCCAAAATGTCTCCACTTTCCAAAGATGTCCTCACTCCCAAGGGCTAAAACTGAAATTGGTCCTCACAAAGATAGACAAGTACACACACTCGGGGGAGTATACTTCAGCCATTAGAGGTGTGTCTCACAGGTGAGAGATGTGTCCAGGTGACTCAACCCAGAGGTATTTGCAGCTGTGTGTGTGTGTCGTCTGTAATCAGAACCAGGCTGCTTTAAGTTTCTACTCCCTGAACCAGTCCCGATCAGACCAGAACCAGGTCTTTACTATCCTCTACTGTGTTTTTACAGAGCAGATTTGTTTCTCTCTTGTTCACGAGGACTCTCACATGAACAAAAGACTTGATGATTTCAACTGAAGGAGAAAAACATCTGCTCACAGTTTATAGAAAAAACAAACATATCCTCTTGTTTCTTTCAGCAGCAGCTTAGTGACTCCTCCTCTTTATGTCAGACTGAACTCCTCTTCCACTGCACAGCGAGACCTCGTCCATACCAAGCAGACCAAATCTGAACACGCATCTTTTCCCTCTCTGTTGGGTCCTCACTCTCGCCCCACACGGAGGGGATCAGTATTCCTGGCTGAGGTGCATAAATAAAATGAAATCTTCAATCTGCTCATCAGTATTTAATCTGTCCAGGTAGATTTTTTTTGTCCTTTTGCTGACTTTCTAGGCACTTTTTGACATTATGCGTGGTCCTTTTGTTCAGCACAGTCTCAAATAGAAGTCGGATTTCTCATATTGTCAAATTAACTAAATGTAAATCTTCCAGGAACCCAAAATTCAAGAGAAATGACACAGGCGCCTATAAAACTGCACAAATCTTTAGTCATAATCACTCAAATTATTATTATAGAACAGTTATAGGTTGTAAAAAATATTGTTTTCACTATTTCTACACACAAATACAGAACATGCAAATAATAAAACTATAATCTCTACATGTGAAGTGTTTTCATTCCAACTGTCTTTTTCATTGAAAGTCAACGTGTGCCTGTAAATAATGTGACAATAATGAGTTACTGTGTGAAAACCCCACATCATAACTTTAAACTGGCTTTCTCAGCTTGTCTCTAGATGCCATATAAAGTTATGAATGATGGACTCCAAAGGGTTAAAATAAATCATAACCACTGAGAAATTACAGAAACTTATCAAGATTTATTAAATAATTTAATTGAATGTTATGAAGTAGTACTATTAGTACTATTATTAACAATTTAATTATTTGCACAGACAGATGGTTGTTTCTGAACGCCTGTCATGTTTCTACAGGAGGAAAAGGACGAGTGTCTGTTTAACAACACTGCAAACGCAGACAAGCCAAGACAGAGCCGCCTGTAACACGATCAGTCAACTTGCAGGATCTTGCTCTCGGAAATCTCAGATCTTTTTTCCCCCCTTTATCGTATACAATGACTGACTATTGGTGTTAAAGAGCTAAGAAAAGGTTAACAAAATCAGTCGAGGTGGTGCGCCTTAACACGAAGAAGAAAACTTCCTGGCGCCTCTAATGCTCTCTGTGATCACTCATTTTAAATGTCACAAAATACAGATGTTTTGTTAATGTGGATTCATGTTGATGTCAGACATGGCAATCAACTTTAATAAATCTTTGTCAGCGTTATATTGGGCTTAATGCTAAAATTAGCTTGCTACCATGCTTAAGTTATGTCCTTTGATCCAGAGTGAAATATCTCAACAACTAATTAGATGGATATCCAAAGTCATGCAAAAACCAAGTCTTTGTTTGGGAACAGTTAATTGAGGTTTAACAGTCACATTCACACCTTCTGGACATCATTTCTAATTATAAAACATTTAAGTCCGTTCAGTTTCATTGAAGAGGTGTGGGAGGTTTGCAATTAAATACGGTGGTACAATTATTACTAAAATAAATCTGGCTTTATGCCATTTTTATGTTGTGGTGATGTTGGCTTTTACGATGTCAGAGTCAAGTAAACTACCTGTTTTGTGCCTGTATAATAATATCATGTTGATTTTCTTCTTTAATTATTTCATGCCGACATGTTCTCATCATGGGATGAAGTGGGATGTTTGGTCTTGTGTGACCTCTGACCTCTGTCCTACATGTAAACTTCACCTCCTTCTGGTACTTTCCTGTTATTTTCACCACAGAACTGAACCAGCCTTCATGTTTTAAACTCGTCTTAGCAAACCTCCTTCTCTTTCTGTTCTTTTCACTTTGCAACATGTGGATGTTTAACTTCTGTCTTATATCCTCTAGCATGTTGGCAGTGTCTTCCTTCAGACAGGAAGACAAATGTCAGACCTGTCTCCCTCTCCATCTGTATATTACTCTCTCTCTCGCTCTCTCTCTCTCACTTTCTTTTTGTCCCAGCTCCAGTACAAATCCTTGCTTTCCCCTCACAGCTGTATTAGCCTGCTCTGCTCCATGATCTGAGACACACGAGAACAAGACACACACACTTACACATCATCACACAGCGACACACACACACACACACCTCTCCTTGAGCTCCTGCAGAACCAGAGGAGGAGAAAAGAGGGTGGAAGAATTTGGCCTCAAATCCTGCAAC